GAATGAAGCTGAATGAACATTTTGGCTGATTTGGGACCCAATAGATCGGAGAACGCTTGGCCTTGTTCATCTATGCCGTTCTGGCTATCATGTTAGTGATGAAAGCGTGCTTACTCTATCATCACTGATACATCCATTGTTGGCAGTTTCGAGTTTGTCGTATGGTTCCTCCCGTCTTTGATAGGAGATGCAATCATTGTCTGTGTAATTGGCGTGTTGCTGGGGCCAATGTATCCAATTATGGTGAACCATGCAGGACGCATCCTTCCTCGCCGGATCCTCACTGGTATGTCTCAAACAGTCTCACAAATACTTGTGATTCATAATCTCCCATAGGATCCATTGGTTGGATTGCAGGAGTGGGGCAGGCAGGTTCTGCAATGGTTCCGTTTATGGTGGGTGCCATCGCGCAAACTGCTGGAATGAAAACCCTGCAGCCTGTGTACGTATCATAATAACGACACTAAGAAGGCATGTCATATCTCACATTCTTTTTTTTAGATTGATCGGGATACTGAGTATTATGACTGGGTTATGGGCCCTGGTGTGCTATGGTTCCAGTTCACGTCGTCCCGATTGAATATTGAAGGTTTGAATTTGCGTCCAGGTTGTACATATCTAGAGATTTCATGATAGCGTGATCACTTTGAATGATAGAGTTCAATAGGGGGGTTGGTACAAGGCTGCCGTGTACCCGGACCGGTGTAAATAGAAGTATGTGTACTCGTGGTCTAAGAAGTTAACTTCGGAGTACCATACATCCTGTGGTTTGGTGCTGTCACTGCCGTGTTCCTGTTCTAGTGTTGCTAAGTCCCACGTCTAATCTTCAGCCAGAAAGTTCGAGTGCCCATTGAACCCGATAGCAGGGGGCCATTTTTTTTATATGTTTTGAAATGACTTGCTGTGTTTGATACGTGAATCCATCCGGATGCTGTGAACAACGTGCACATGAGCATTTGAAAGAAAGGTTTGCCATAGCTTTCAGTATTGAGATCGTCGTAAACAGTGGCAACGACAGTGAGTAGTACAAGTTCACGAGAAATGGGACTTGGACGATTTTTGCAAGTCACTGGGTGCGAATTCACGACGTATGCGCGCGCGCGATCATGTGCAATTGAACGTGATGAATATCATAATCGTAACGGTGCTTGCGCACCAAGTCCCCGACTCCTGATTCCGGCCTGCTCGTTCTCAAAATGACATGCACTGCAACGTGTCATCGTATTTCAAGTTGAGGATATATATCGACGTGCTTTGAAGTCTGTAGTGTCTCTCAAATAAAGGACCAGGCTGAAGACGACATTGAATGAGCCAAGGACCAACCTATTCAATTGCTTCAAGAAATTCCTTATCGCAGTGAAAACGAAAAAAAAACAGATGTAGAACTGCCGTCGCGCAGGTTTGGATGTCCGAGAGCGGTGAGATCCATGTAATAAGACTCAGCGCTCAGCTACCGACAAAAGTATGATGGTGAGTATTTGCCGAAAACTGTAGAGCACTCAGCAGCAGATGCCAAGAATAAAGTTAAGAATCTTAGATTCTGTCCAAGTGCACAGCTTTGCACATCGGCTGACGCATGGGAATTCGACAAAGCCCTCCACTAACGTGGGAGTCGGGGAATATTGCCTGCTGGGAAACAATGCAGTAACTTGACAAAGTCGTACAATACATAAAGAGAACGCAAATTCAAACTTTTAATCGGGACGACGTGAACTGGAACCATAGCACACCAGGGCCCATAACCCAGTCATAATACTCAGTATCCCGATCAATCTAAAAAAGAGAATGTGAGATATGACATGCCTTCTTAGTGTCGTTGTTATGATACGTACACAGGCTGCAGGGTTTTCATTCCAGCAGTTTGCGCGATGGCACCCACCATAAACGGAACCATCGCAGAACCTGCCTGCCCCACTCCTGAAATCCAACCAATGGAACCTATGTGCCGGAAATTATGATCACAAGTAATTGTTAGACTGTCTGAGACATACCAGTGAGGATTCGGCGAGGAAGGACGCGTCCTGCATGGGTCACTATAATTGGATACATTGGCCCCAGCAACATGCCAATTACACAGACAACGATTGCATCTCCTATCAAAAACGGGACGAACCATACGATGAACTCGAAACTGACAACAATGTATGTATCAGTGATGATAGAGTAAGCACGCTTCCATCACTAACATGATAATCAGAACGGCATAGATGAACAAGGCCAAGCGTTCTCCGATCTATTGGGTCCCAAATCAGCCAAAATGTTCATTCAGCTTCATTCGTGCAATCTACCCTTTTATTCAACCATAGCAAGGCCACTCGACCGACCATGAGACCTATAGAATGGGAGGATAAGTCAAAGCCTACTAACGCGCGCTGTTGCATACCGCCGAAGAAACCACTAGAAACATAACCAGATGAAGGCCCTCCGCCTCTGACATCAATGATGTAGGTAACAATCCAGCCTTTTTCAGAGCGTCAGATATTATAACCATTGTAGACGGTCACGAACCGCCAAGAGTAACTTCGGCTCCGACATAGAGTAGAGTGAATGCTGCCAGAAGATGGACGTCTTTGTTCCCGAATATCTGCCTGAGATGACTGTGCTCGCTTGCATTGTTATCCGAGTCCACGATGCCTATCTCGGAAAGACACTCTGGAGAATGCGCGTAACTGATGTCAGCAATCAAGTACAAACGTGACATGCACATTGTCCTCACCTGCCTGGGGCTTCAGCCGGAAGACTATGATCAAGGCGATTGTATTGGTGATCGCAATTCCAAGGGATGTCAAGAAATGGAGATTCCAATGAGGTAGGTGTGAAAATTGGGTGGCAACCAAAGGAGATGAGAGTGCTCCGGCCCCTATGAGTTGTGAACATCGACTTTACGAAAAAGAATTGCTGGTCAAATTACCATATACTACATAATTCAAGAGTGAGCTACGCGAATGACGCATAAAAATGCCTGATGCATACCTGCCATGAAGACGCCCATCTTCACTTCTGCATTTTCTTTGAGGCATGCAACATAGCCGACTGAATGTGCATTCTGTTCACGAGTTAGTAAAGATGAACGATGATAAACAAATTTACCTGCCTGTAGAGCTATTCCAATTCCGTTAATGAAATACGCAAATACAAACACGGGAAAGGGGGGCCCCGTAGACTCGATACAGTATGCCAAGACTTGACATAAAGAACCTGGAGTGCGAGAAATTGAGAATCATGCGGCCCCCGATGTCAGCGAGCAGTACCTAGTACCATCACCTTACAAGAAGTCAGGATCGTCACAAAACGTGCAGTCTATATGGGCGTACTTTTCCGAATCCTAGCTTCTCGGCAAGGATCACATTAGACACGGCGCCCGTGATATATCCCTGTTTAGCCCACGCATGATAAGAACTATGACCAGTTTATAGTCTCGTGTACAAACTGACCACGCAAGCGCAAATAAAAATAAGAGATACAACAGCATATCCAACCTAGAAAAACACGTCAATAAGCAGTTGCGGTACAAAATACAAAAAAACGTACCCCATAAACTTTTTGAATCCTGGGCAACAGCGGACCATTCGATCCATCATTCCAGCCCTCCAGATAGTCAAACCAACACAATGTCACAAATTGAATTTTCTCCCGCGTTCTTTGTGTTCTGTACCTGGCTGAAAGTACTGATGGACTTTCCGAGTCATAGTTATGTTTGTCTATTGGAGTCACGGGGGAAAGCTCAATTGCATCTACCGTGACGCTCTCCGTAAGACCAAGGTGACAGGGCGGCTTAGGCGATACTCGGCATATCGATGTGGCCCCAGGGGCGAGATTCGCCTTGTCTGGGGTCAAAACGGGGTCAGTCGTGACTGGTGAAAGAGACATTTCGCGAAGAGAAAATGGGAGGGAAAGGATAAGACTCACGCTGGGTACACTATATACGCTAACTTCTTATGAGACCAGGTCAATTGGAGTGTCGGACAAGTGGTCCGCTCCTGTAGATGATCAAAAATAACGAGCATGTAATTTCGACCTTTGATCGGTGCTCCTCATATCCAAAGTCAGTTCCAAGTCAGACCACTTCACTAATGTGGCTCTATAATTGACCTTAACTTGACGGTTTTGGCCTGTTAATTCTTTACCGTTCACGACAACGTCGGGCCAGAAGACTAGAAACGCGAACCCAGACGTGACCGTGACATGGTAGGCTTGAAATGCGAATTGTTCAGCTCAAGGAGCATAATACCACATGACGATATAAAGCATAAATGCACGGATTATAGACGCGATAGAATGTGGGAGAAGTGTCAAAATATTCATTCTCTGTCACATAGTCACTGCTGGAATTATGCCGGAAGTTACAGACTTTTCTGTAGTTATCACGAGGTTTTCCTGTAGATTATCTTCAGAATTCACAGAATATCTCCCATGGGCTGCAGTATGGACGTACCCTTGCCTCAATCTTATCCTTATGCAGGTGAGTGGCTACAGGTGGCGTGGATGTGGTGCAAGAGAGACTTGAAGGTGGGCGTTGGCCTATCTGGAGGTGTGATGTAGACACGACCAGTGCAGGGTGCTCCTGCAACCACGTCACCAGTAGTCAGAATACTAGAATGGGGAGGAGGGCTTACAGCCAATACAGTGCACACTGTAGTATGAACATTGAGTTCAGTACACAAGATCATGTGATGCGACGCGACACGAATTTGACGTGAATCATGTAGAAGCAAGTTGTAGATTGATCAACTTGAGAAGTCACATGGAAGGCACTAGTAGGTACTGAGTTCTCCAGATGCTCGTGAGATATTCTCAAGGGCTTTCAGCAGCCAATCAGGCGACGAATAAAAGTCCTACCAAAACATAAAACATTAATGTTTGTGGGCCGAGTACTGATGATAACAACGAGTCATCTTACAGCTAAAGTTTGCAACTTGACAGTACGAGTGATTTGAATGAATAAGGAAATTTAAAAAAGAAAAAGTCCCAGACGCGCATTTTCCTGTCAGCGTGCTATTATGCCGTTCCGCGAAATCAGTCGCGACGTGAAACTCGCTGCTATCAACCTTTATGAGCACAACATGCTGTCTCTCGAACAGATTCTTGATTGTGTCGGCTTCTCTGAAAGTACATTTTGGCGTGTTCGCAAACTCTGGCAAGAAACAGATGTTGTTCAACACAACTACGGAGCTGCTGGCCGTCCACGAGCCCTTCACTTTGACGACATAAGCTACCTCATTCGGCTCGTCAACCAGCCTGGTACTGTTTGCCCAGTCGCAGTCGGATTAGAGCTCGTCGCTGTGTCCGAGTTGGACGTTGAAATCTGTGATACACGGGTGATCTGCTTGTTGTTGAAGGTGATGAGATGGGGTGGTCATCCTCGTGATATTTCATAAATATCGTAGGGTATGGATCAGTCGTCACCCTCCGACCATGGCGCAAAATCCACTACCGGTACTACGGCAGCTGTATGTTCGGCCATCTAAACGAGCATGATAAACATTGAATCTCTTGTCCCTTGCAGCATCGAAGTCACGGTTGAACAACGAGAAAAAATTCTTCGTGGCATTGTCACTGGATGAAGTAATGCACTCACGCAGTTGTTTTACTTAACGAGTCGCATTGGAAGCCGACGAGCGAGAAACAGCTTAGCCGTGGCGCAGACTCCTTCCCAACGCTTCGAGTGTAGAGGGGTGGACTGCGAGGGAGCGTGGACTAGACTCGTATCTGAGTAGTCGTGTTATGGTTAGAGTTGTAGTAATGACCGTACGGCATTTGCCTTGGTCACCGGTTTGATGCTGGGATTGAATTTTACACCTGAGTTATGAGTCACACATAGTAGACCTTCTGACTTCGGCAATCATCATGATTTATTGGCCCTCAAGCTTTCAAGGCCTCACAGACCGGCAGTCCGCTCCTCTACACTCGAAGCAGCGGTGGGAAAGAGCTTGAGTTTTGCGACAACGTGTTTCTGGCATTGCACTAATATTAGTAGTAAGTTTTACACTTGTTTACGTACTGACTTATAAACTCGTTATCAACAATCAGTTGCTAGTTTGACGCTCACCCGCATGATCAAGCCTCCAGACCTTTGCGGGCCCCACGGCTTGTAATTCTTCACTCGTAGCTCTTCTCAGGCAATGTAATATCCTTTAGAGGAATATTGAAACAGAGTCCTATATCAGTCCTCCTCTGCTGCTTACTCGAACGCACTTCAAATTTCGTTTCCCAGTCATAACCTTGGATCCAAAGAGCATTCATAGGCCGCGGTTCACGTATACGACCTCAAAACTCATCATGCAGGCGACGACAATCAGTGAAGGTCATGCGGTTTTACACCACCCCACAATTGGCTCTCAGCACAATCTTAAAGAAAGCGACAAACACAATGAAGGAGTTGAAATGCGAGTGGGGTCGTCTGCAAGTGATTCAGGAGCGGCGTCTGTCTCTGACATGAAAGCCCAAACGAAACGTCAACGGCTGCGCGCACGGGTGCAATTTGCGACAGTTTGTGGGTCTATGTACCTTGCTGGATGGAATGACGGGACGACTGGTCCATTGCTCCCCCGGATACAGGAAGTGTATGACGTGGGTTGTTTCAAACACCCGCAGTTTTCTTTCAAGTTTACCTCCTATCGTCTTGACAGTTGAATTTCACTATTGTATCCCTGATATTCGTGTTCGCATGTGTTGTAAGATTTCATTGCAGCCTGCCAGACCGATAAATCTGAGTTGCTTGACAGGGCTTCCTATCTGGAGCATTTGCAAACCTATATCTGAATGGCAGATTCGGTTTCGGGAAAGTAAGTTCATCTTCGATGTTTTTTTTACGGTCTCTGAGGTACACTCCGTGGTCTAGGTGATTGTATTAGGTGAGGGCGGATCATTGAAAGCAGAGGCCATGATCGCCTAATCATTGCTCAGGATCTGCGTGTCAAGTTATAGCGTACGCCATAGAGGCGGGTGCCTTGCCATTTCCTGCATTCGTGCTAGGTTACGCCATCAATGGCTTTGGAATGGCTCTACAGGTAAGTTACACCAATGCAATGGATTCTACGGTTCCTGATGGACCTGAAATTAGGACGCACAATCGAATGGTTATGTGGCCAGTCTCAAGGATAGTCCCGAGGTGAAAATGGGGATCCTCCATGCAGTAAGTGTGTCATCTTGTCTGTGAACTCTCGATTTATCTTGCCATTCAAAGGTATACGGTACGTTACACCTATTCCATGGTGATGCGACGTGATCCATGTTCCTTTTTCACTTTTTAGGTGCTGGCGCTTTGTCGTCCCCTTTAGTAGCAACGCAATTTGCCCAGCTTTCGCATTGGTCATTTCACTACCTGTGCAGCCTTGGTGTTGCGTTCATAAACATCGTATCGTTGATTGTAGTCTTTGGGCTGAAAACACAGGATGGTATGACAAGCATTCATAGTATTAAGAAGATCGCTGACCATCTCACAGAGTGCCTCGCTCAGATTGGACAGCCAGCAGGCGAAAAGGGAACAAGTGAAAAGAGCCAGTTCAGGCAGATATTGCGGCTCAGAGAAGTGCACCTCCTCGCCTTCTTCATTTTAATATATGTAGGAGTGGAGGTCACTATGGGTGGTAAGTATACAATTTAAGTGGAGAAAATGCTCACTCAGAATACTACTCTAGGGTGGATGGTGACGTACATCATCGACGTGCGCGGAGGAGGTCCAAGTTCGGGATATATATCATCAGGGTTTTTTGGAGGTAAGCTTTTCCGGGTATGCCAGGGGTTCGAGTTTCACTTGTAAATAGGTCTCATGATCGGCCGTGTCGGTCTTCTGTGGGTGAACAAAAAGGCAAGTCCCTATCCCGTTCTTAGCATGCAACATAGATCTCAAAGATCACAGGTTGGGGAACGTCGTGTTTTGTTCATTTATGCTATCCTCGCAATTGGGCTACAACTAGTAGTATGGCTAGTACCTTCGCTCATTGGTGCAGGCGTTGCGGTCTCCATAATTGGAGTAATTTTGGGGCCGATGTATCCCATCGCTATGAATCACACAGTACGAATCCTCCCTGAGTGGCTCGTCACAGGTAATTTTGTGTTTAGTAGCACGAGTATGGTCAACTGAAACCTGAATGTAGGGTCGATTGGTTGGATAGCAGGCTTCGGGCAAGCAGGTTCTGCGCTCTTACCATTCCTAACTGGTGCCATTGCATCGGGGGCGGGAATCAAGAGTTTACAGCCATTGTCAGTATTCTTTATAGTTCTGCCCGTGCTTAATAAACTGATCGTTGGTGGCACAAAAGTCTCGTTTCGATGATGGCGTTCATGACTGTCTTATGGGCTTTAGTGCCGAGAACTGCTAGGAGAACTGAATGATAGATTCTCCGTTAGCTATAGGGGTTGAAATTTGGCAATAGATTCATCTAACGACCTCATTGTGGACCCCTTGCCGGGATGTAACTGAATTCTTTCACCTATTTGCCCAGACTCCAACCACCTTCATCCTAGTACAGCCACCTTTGTCTTAGATAATCGAGTTGAGTAGTAATCACACCGTGACATTGTGTCGATTTTCCTCCGAGGTCTACGACCATTTACATTTAATTCGAAGTCACAGAGACATCAAGTTGACTGCTCATTCATATGTTAACCTCTGTCCTACTCAAGGCTTCCCATTTGATCCGCCCAACAGTCATCAGAGACTAGAGTCAATCATCACCCGGGAATCAGCAAGAACTTGACAAGTCGTCTCAAATTCAATTCATTGGCTCGTGTCATTTAAGCTCCACTCGGTCACGCAAGAAATGATTCTACAGCTTGCAGCATTGCGCCAGTGATCTACCCATGTGAACGGGGACATTAGTGCTTGGTCACGACCATTATGGCTCAAAATTCAATCGGTTGGTTCGTGTCATAGACCAGTGCATCGAGGGTAAAACAACTTCAAGTTGGCTGGTTGACTTGAAAATTCATCTTTCCGTCACAAGGTTAAGTAAACCCTCCCCTACCAGATTTACGAAAATGATTGTAACTGTTAACTATATATAGTTAATCATGATTCATGACTGTTCACTGGACTGCCAGTTCAGTGATGACCACGTCATTTCTTGCAGTTGGTCAGCCTCCCGTGTCTTGCGCTCGGATCTCGACCCTTCCACCAACCCATCAGCAATCAATTCTAGACCCGCGAGGTAGTCCAAGTCATCAAGGTCTGCTGCGAGGAGAGAAATCCATACAAAATGATGTTTGCAACTCATCGGCGAGAGCAGCGTCGAGTCCGTGTTCAGGACAGGTATGCATATATGCATGTTCTCGATGAACACCATATGTCATGTTTTTCATTGTTCTCAATAGGGACAAATACCAGGTCATCGTATTTCTGCCGACTTCCACTAAGCACCCTCAACCTACTGCCGGCAATTGCCGCTTGGCAATTCACTGGCAGAATGCCGCCATTCTGCCAACACTAAGGTCCACCTGCAGGTTGGGTTACGGGTTGGGCCACGGGTTGACACGTACCCCTGCGATAATGCTCTAACCGGGTGGGTACGGATACGCCTCTGAAAATTTTGGTACCCAGTGGGTTGGGTGCAGGTATGAACCGGGTCGACCCATGTCACGCCCTATGAAAAGGAAGATTGAAACGTCCTTTATCAGTACTTTCTCTGTTCCTTCCTCGGACACACTTAACCTTCAACTTTCGTTTCCGAGTCATAACCTGGGATCCAAGAACAAACACCCTTAGGCCGTGGTTCACATATTCGTTTTCAGAACTCATTATGCAGATGACGACGATCAGTGAAGGTCATACGGTTTCGCACCATCCCACAATTGGTCCTCATCACAAATTTGAAGAGAGTGACAAACACAATGAAATGCAAGTGGAGTCGTCTGCAAGTGATTCAAGAGCAGCCTCTGTCTTTGACATGAAAGCCCAAACGAAACCTCAGCGGCTGCGCGCGCGAGTGCAATTTGCAACAGTTTGTGGGGCGATGTACCTAGCTGGATGGAATGATGGGACGACTGGTCCATTGCTCCCTCGGATACAGAAAGTGTATGACGTAGGTTGTTACAAACACCCGCAGTTCTCTTTTACCTCCTATCGCCCTGACAGCTGAATTTTGCTGTCGTATCCCTGATATTCGTGTTCGCATGTGTTGTGAGATTCCATTGCAGCCTGCAAGATTCGCCAATGAACCTGAATTATTCGGTAGGGCTTCCTATCTGGAGCGTTTGCAAACCTTTATCTAGACGGGAGATTCGGTTTTGGGAAGGTAAGTTTATCTTCGATGATATTTTTACGATCTCTGAGGCACGCTCCGTGGTCTAGGTGATCGTGATAGGTGAAGGCGGATTATTGAAAGCAAAGGTCACAATCGCCTTATCATTGCTCAGGATCTGCGTGTCAAGTTATAGCGTACGCCATAGAGGCGGCTGCTTTGCCATTTCCTGCATTCGTGCTGGGTTACGTTATCAATGGCTTTGGAATGGCTCTACAGGTAAGTTACACAAGTGCAATAGATTCTACGGCCCTGATGGACCCTGAACTCAGGACGCACAATCGAATGGTTTTGTAGCCAGTCTCAAGGATAACCCAGAGGTGAAAATGGGGATCCTCCATGCGGTAAGTGTTATCTTGTCCGTGAACTCTCATTTTATCTTGCTGTTAAAAGGTATACGGTACGTCATATCTCTTCCATGGCGATGCAACGTGATGGATATTCCTATTTTCACTTTTCAGGCGGTGGTGCTTTGTCGTCCCCTTTAGTAGCAACGCAATTTGCCCAGCTTTCGCATTGGTCATTTCACTACCTGTGCAGCCTTGGTGTTGCGTTCATAAACACTGTACTGTTGATTGCAGTCTTTAGGCTGAAAACACAGGATGGTATGACAAGCATTCATAGTATTAAGAAGATCGCTGACCATCTCACAGAGTGCCTCGCTCAGATTGGACAACCACCAGGGGAAAAGGGGACAAGTGAGAAGAGCCAGTTTAGCCAGATATTGCGGCTCAGAGCAGTGCACATCCTCGCCTTCTTCATTTTGACATTGGTAGGAGTGGAGGTCACTGTGGGTGGTAAGTATACAACTCAAATGGAGAAGGCGCTCGCTCAGAATACTACTCCAGGGTGGATGGTGACGTACATAATCGACGTGCGCGGAGGAGGTCCAAGTTCGGGATACATATCATCAGGTTTTTGGGGAGGTAAGCTTTTCTGGTTATGCTAGGGACTCGACTGTTTATTTTTCAACAGGTCTCATGGTTGGCCGTGTCACTCTTCTGTGGGTAAACAAAAAGGCAAGTTCCTATCCTGTTTACGGCATGCAACATAGATACCAAAGATCACAGGTTGGGGAACGTCGTGTTTTGTTTATTTACGCCATCCTCGCAATTGGGCTACAACTAGTAGTATGGCTGGTGCCTTCGCTCATCGGTGGTGGTGTTGCGGCCTCCCTAATTGGAGTAATTTTGGGGCCGATGTATCCCATCGCTATGAATCACACAGTACGAATCCTCCCTGAGTGGCTCATCACAGGTAAATTCGTGTTCAGTAGCACAAGCATAGTCAACTGAAACCTGAATGTAGGGTCTATTGGTTGGATAGCAGGCTTCGGGCAAGCAGGTTCTGCGCTCTTGCCATTCTTAACCGGTGCCATTGCATCGAAGACCGGAATCAAGAGTTTACAGCCATTGTGAGTGTTCCCTATAGTTGTGTATGTGCTTAATAAACTGATCATTGGTGGCACAAAAGTCTCGTTTCAATGATGGCGTTCCTGACCGTTTTATGGGCTTTAGTGCCGACAACTGCAAGGAGAACTGAATGATATATGGTCCGTTAGCTATGTCTTGTGGATGGTTTGGCATGTGGTAGTAGATCTATTTAATGACCTCGTTATGACACCCCTCAGGCTAAGTTCAGTGAATTCTTGCAAGTTTCACCTCTCTGCCCAATGTTCACAAAACGTAAGCACTGGGCTTACCATTTTGTCGAAAGGTTGGTGTAAAAAAAATGACCGTCCTTGTCCGAAGGGAGATTAAATTCATGATTCGATCGTGCTCGACCAAAACGACAGACTAGGTAAATTGGCATAAAAGCACGACTTGAAATTATCGCACTATTGCATACCGCAAAGGGTGCTGGTGAGTCACGTTCCACCACATCTAAATGCATGTGCATGGCAAAATTACCTTCGCCGACCCAGGGTTAGTTAACCAATACATGATGAATATAGCGATTGATAAGGAAGGCATGGTAATACTAAAAGTTTGAAGTCGACTGCACTCAAACACACGACAGCAATCTCAACCCTTGACGGTTTTTCTTCTTGAGCTACTGCGTGTCGCAGTGGCCGAGCCAGTACCCGTCGTCGAATTTCGCGTGCTTTTCCTAGGTTTGGTTGCCTTCACAGAAGGCGGTGACGGTTCTGGCGACACGGAAAGCACTGATGAAGTCGTCGACAACCTGGACGATCGGCGCGCAGGCGTCTTTTCGTCCTTCACAGGTTTGACTTTGATTGAGGTGCTCGTTCGGGTTTTACGAGCCGTACGTGGCGGCGGCAGGGGAGTGATATCATCTTCGTCCCGGTCTTCATCATCATCAAGTAAAGAGCCAGGTATGGTCTGTGCGAGAGCAGGGCCCTTGATATTATCTTTCCAGGAACTAACGGGTTTGCGTCGAGGACTAGGTGAACGCGCGCGAGGCTGAGGCCGACGGGCACCGCGATGTCGCGGAACAGCGCTTTTGAGAGGGGAACAAGCATCACTTTCGTCCTCGTCCTCATCATAAAATGCGCCTGGAGGTGCACGTTTCTTGGTTTCCACCTGCTTAGACGCGGGTGCACGAGTGCGTTGTTCAGGTGAGTTCTTGTTACCAAACACGGAGAAGCCGAGCTCAGGCTCATCATCCATGTCATCCGGCATGCTACTGACGTCGCCATCTTCATGGATGATGAAGGCATTATCGTCATCAGATTCCATGCTGATGTCGTCTGCCCTGTGAGAATGAGGCCGTGTGGGCACGTCTTCTGTGGGAAGTGCACGGCTCGTTCCAGTCGATACTGGTGGAGGTTTGTAGAATGCATTCGGTGCCTGTTTGGCACTGCCAGTTTTCTCAAACAGTGATGTAGTTGGCGCGCTGGATGCGTAGGTAGTCTTTGACAAGGCAGTGCTATGCGCGAATTTGATCCCAGATTGGCCCACGAGGGGTACAGGCGGCGCAGCAACAGGTTTGCGCAATGGAAGCTGACCAAATGGTGATACAGCGGGTGGCTTTTGGGGTGGCGAGGGGAGGAAACTCCCTGAAATGGACCCAGCGAGTGATGGTTTTGGCTCAAACCGACCAGAACTAGAGAAACTGGTATGCCTGTCAGGGATTCGGGGTGTAAGACTGTTCGGTCTACTAGGGGAAGCCCCATTCAAAGAACTTGCGGATGGAATCTCCTCCCATGACATGCTGAGATCACCTAGAGGTGCTCTAGGTTTCGGAGGCGCGGTTTTCGCTGCCTGAGGGGTCGGGGCAGGAGCTAACGTACTTGGCTGGTTAAGTAAACCCTCCATCATTGTTCTTTCCACAAATGTCATATTCCCCAAGATGTCATCCATTATCTTCTTTCTCTCTCGCCCGACTTTCACACCCTCTGCACCAGCAGACCCTACGGTAGAAAACTGGCGGTCCAGTTGGATGGCTGCCAAATATTCTCCACTTTGGACGAGTCGGACGCAGACAAGGTCTTGCACGATGGCAATAGAAGCGGCTGGGATGTCATGCGGTGGCTTAAGAGCATATGCATGGAGCAGAGACTGTTCCGGAGGGGATAGAGGAAATGCTACGAGCTGTGCCAACGGTCCAGAGCGTGGCTTGGCTATTAAAAACACAATATTAACAAGGTCACAAGGAATATTGGTCGGTTTACGCACGCGAAAGACACCACTCTAAGAGCTTATTGAGTAGACGCGTACGCGTGTCAGAGGAATCAGGAAAAGTACGTTGAAACTGCCACGCGTCCCAAAGACTTGAGTTAGCCAGTGCAAGCGCGTACATATCAATGTCGTCGGGTTCCATGAGCGGAGGCTTGGCGGTCCGAACGTATTTCACGATGAGTGGGGACGGATCCTCGGACAATGAAAGCGCCTGCATAATTTTGGAGGCGTAGTCCCTGTTTAGTCTCGCATCTGAAAGTATTGAAACTGCTTTCTAAACCACTCCTCATAAGATTCAAGGAAGCCATGATACCAGATATGACGACATACCTCAACGTGGATGCCAGTGTCCAGATGCCAATATGCATCTGCAAGGGACACAAACTGTGGTGGGATACACCTTTCCTCCGCATAAGTAGCCTCTCGTCCGTCTTGAAACCACTTCAGGAGGATATATACCAGACAATCTTTCTTCAAGCTGTCATAACTCGAGCCATTGATGACATCCAGTAGCCTACGGAGTGAATGTAGGTCTGTAGGTGGATAAAGCATGTCTGGTTGACGAATGCCACCGCGTATGAGCAGAACGTCAAAAATTAGGACATCAGCCATCTGCGCGCGTCGGGATTCTATTTCTGCAGATCTGGTGGTGGTCCAAGGAAATTGATGTGGCGTCCCGAAAAGCAGGAGCCAGTTTTGGACCATATTGCTATCATCCTGAGGAAGTACAAGTCAGTTCAAACAAGGCTACGCATCGCGCTTAAGGATGATACTCACGACGTCCATGCTACTTGTGATGAACACGCCCGACCACTTCATCACGCCTTTCAACAAAACATTGCTGATGTAATCAATTACGATAAACAGAAAATTAACCCCTGAAATGAGCCTGGCTGCATTCGTGACACTATAAATATACAGTAACCAGTATATCCTTATTGCCATCCTAATTCTGCACAAAATGATCTATGTGGGTACCTCCAAATCCTTACTTTTTTCCCTGGAGCTTGTGGTGCATCACCCTTGAATCTGAGATAGTAAATCCAACTGTGATTCAACTGATACGCCTTTGATGGATGCCAGGACCTTTGGATTATGGGGCAGCTGCTTGGCCTTCAGGAATTCGAGGATACGACGCAGCTCAAAATCATGAACCGAGAACTGGCAGCGGCTCAGCGGAGGGATCGCAAGGCACAGAAAAGGTTGAGTCATCAATACTACGTGGTGTCTTAGTTGGCAACCACAAACCCGAAGCTGCTAAGGAAGAGTACCTACCTTACATGAAAAAATGGATGAGTAGGATGCGGGAGTGGTTCTCCCCCGCTGTCATTCTTCGCACCTTCATTCAGAATGTCATACCAGATATTACCACAATTATCGGACTAACAATGCCGACTCAACACGACTTGACAGGTTTGACGAGGTATGACATGCATCACACTACACATGATGAAGTGAATTCAAGCTCAGGAAAATAGTTTGGCTTAATTTGTCATACAGGCTGTTCGTCACAGCCTGGTATCCTCCACACTTAGCATATACGGCAACTTCGGCAAGACTACACTTCCCAGAGGTTAACGGCCGTCACCGCATGCGTTCAGGGATTCGGTTGGCTGGTGACCAAAAACTTCCGGTTAGTCATCAAATGTATATCACACAAACACAAGACAGGCAAAGTACATCACCGTGCAGTAGTCTGTTGCCCTCCTGTCTTCTGTGCAAGACGATCTACAAGGGGTGCATCAGCCGCATCCGCAGCAGCCACCTCTAACTTATTTGTTCCCTCTTTCCGCAGAGTCCGCACATCCCCTTTAAATCCAAGGTAGTAAACACGAGAAAGCTCTCCTCCAACCGACTCACGCTAATACGTATTCAGTTGATCGATTTCGTCATAAGGGTGAGCAACACTCACAAAGTACAAGCTTAACGAATGAACGCTGGAAAACGCTGCAACTTTCAGAGGATATTCAACCACTGCCGTCTCACCCTCCAAGAGACTAATGTTTAAATGCGGTTGTATGCTTTCAGCGTCACTGAAATCGATGATATTGGGGTAATTCGCGTAGACCCTGAGGTGGCGGGGTGTAGTTTCACCTCTGCCTGTACGTATGATGGCTGTGTGATGCAGACTCATCAAGTTTAAACGAGCATCAATCACCTAATTTGAGTATAATAGACTTAACGCGCACGTTCTGTGCGAAGGGCACATGTATGATCATCTGCGGAAAGTGATCATTAATCAAAGCGAATCTCTTCCCAGAGACGCAGCTCACTTGGTCGTCTACACCGGAATCTGCATATACAGTGGTATCCTCACGCTCACTCCATGGCTTTATAACAGCTTTGGCTTGCTCTGGTATTGCCAGGTTGAGCCCGTGTACGCTTGATAGCATTTCGTCAAAGTCAGATATCTTTGCTAAATATCCCACCGTGATAAGTCAGCAAGTGCTTACTTCGCTCTATCGATTAGCGGAAACAGGCTCGACAGGTCTGTTCCGCTGAGATCTGCAGCTAGGGAGTTATTTCCTTCCATTACCGGTACGTCGTGGTCAAAGTATCGACGAAACTTGAAATATCACGGAACACTAACGCGTCGTCCTAAATCGACACAAACCAAATAGGGACAAACAACTCGGGACGCCTTCGAAATTTCTACTTCAAACGCGTGAAAAGCAAATGTACAGACTTGCAAGAGCCAGCGCCTCCGTGTTTCGACGGCCTCCAACTTATTCCCGCGTATTTCTGTGTAGACCATCAACTTCGTCTCTGAGACAGTTATCCACAGGCCCTTCAAATTCCTCGCTACCCAATGAATTGCCAGAATCACAGTTACAAGATGTGGAGGCTATTGAGGAGGAAGAGAGCAATCCTGCTTTTCCGGACGTCATGAAACCAGACCCTATTCACGACGATCTTTTAGCTATGGATTTTGCTCCTACCAAACGCACACCACACGCGAACCGCGTCGTTATACGCAGCGTTTATGAACAGCACGTCAACCAAATGCTAGAAACAGATGGTGCAGAAAAATCAGAGAATGGTGCCGAAGAAGACGATGCTGACGAGGAAGGCGAGGTCTCTCCACTCTCGAACCTCCCTCTCAGCCGGGAAGCTCTCGGCAAGCTGTACAAATTCCAACTCATCTCTCGCCGCATCACACAACAGACAGGGAAGGGAAAAATACACCGGCAATATGCGCTTGTTGTTGTGGGGAATGGGGATGGGTTAGTTGGTTATGGAGAGGGTAAGGACGAAGAACTGCCAAGGGCATCCGACAAGGCATTCGCCGCTGCCGTTCGTAATATGGACTCTGTCGAACGCTTCGAGAAGCGTACAGTGTGGACGGATATAGAAACAAAGCTCGGTTCTACCCACATCATCCTACGGCCTCGTCCCGTTGGCTTTGGATTGCGTTGTAACCCGAACGTGCATCAGGTGCTCAAAGCAGCAGGCATCAAGGATGCCAGTGCAAAAGTATGGGGTAGCCGTAATCCACTCAACGTCATCAAAGCTCTATTCAGGGTGCTGCAGGCTGGGAACGCGCCGCTAGCTATGGGTGATGGTTTCGGAGGGAAGGTCAAGAAGCTTGACAAGGGGTCTGGACTGCGTAACAAGAGCGCTGTAGAACGGGATCGTGGGCGGAAGCTCTTGGATCTCAGGACATACTGATATGGATTGCCGTTAGCTTTCATTCCCGTGTTTTGGCGTCCCTGTTTTGTGGCATTGCTTTCCGCGGAATAAATTGATCGATTCCAGTGTGTTCTTTTCCTCTGCATTCCTAGAGTCCAGCTGGTATGATCGAGACCCGAAGCGATTGTATGGTCAAAATAATGGTAACTTCAGGAAGGCACCCTTAGGCTGACGTTGGAAATTAAATTCTCTGCTATTGAGTAAGACAAACTGAAACCTCCAATGTAATTTTACCAAGTTCGAATGAAAGGTAACCTTATTTCGCCTTCTACATGGAATGCACCTTGACAAGTTCAAGATATCACATTAATTTGCCAGATACGGGTTCAAAGTCAAGAAGAGTAAGACTGGCACTTCTGATGGCACATGCGTGCTTGGATTCGTGAATTGCATGGAATCTAACAGCCGCATATCGATACATAAAATTTCGTGTACACCAGGTACTCATATATAATGCCTGGATAATTGCACAACAGTAAATGAAGAAAAATCGAAATCGAAAGATATGGTAAAATGGGGCCAAAAATGCTATTGTCTCGGCATGAGAAATTGTGAGTAGGTTGGATGAATGATGATGTGAATGGATGAGAATAAGAAGTATACAACTAGCCACCAACTGTAGCGAACAGTTTTCCTGGCGAAAACCAGTGACGTTTTTGACGAGGTCGTGGGGCCTGCTGCCGGCATTGTTCATGTATAGCGGTTACAACGGGTGGTGGCGGCTCGGGCATGCTGGGTGACGGCGACCGACGCCCCCATGTGGGACTCGCAGAAAAGAACGTAGAGAAGGGGAACGAGTCTGTGAAGGACCCCCTGCGTGAACGGGGCTGCTCTTCCGTCTGATGCGGCGGCGACGACGAGCGAGGGAATGAGAACCTCCACAGGCTTGAAGACCACCTCTTCTCCTCGCCTGCAGTGGAACGGGGGATGGGGATTGGGGCTGAGGGTGGAGGAGTGGGAAGGGGGGCATCGACGGAGCGAAAGGCATTCATGACCATGGAGGGTACAAGGTGATTTATGGAGGGAGTGACTTGATCACGTCGCCAGGTGGCTAGAGTGGTGTCCTCAGCAACGTGATACGTGGGAGAGAGGTCGAGTTCCAGACCCACGACGCTGGAGGACGACGTGGAGGGGTATGATGATGGGGAATAGTCTGTTTCTGTGTAATCCCATGCGGAATCCATCCGCTGGCTTTCAGGAGTAGAATAAGCGCCTAAGTCAACCGAAGAAGGCATTCCAGAATTGGTCCAAGGCAAAGACAGCTTCGAAACTGAAGGAGGAGTTGGAAGGAAAAAACAGGAGGAGAACGGTGTAGAACTTTCAACGGCAGTGTGCATAGAGGAAAAGGTGGAACGTGTTTCACTGCTACCAGTGAAAAATATACGACGCCCGCACACTGTGTTGATTTTGAGACCCTTGGCGGGAATGGGCGTGGGCCTACTGCACATCATACCCTCAGGAGTGGCGGGAACGGAAGGTAACGAGCTGGAATCAGGGGATTGGGGAGAGTATGTTGATGGTGGAGTACGAGGGGACTCGTAGATTTTGAGCGGCTCAATCAGAGACGGTGATGGCGACCGAATAGAGGATTCGATGGCCCAGGTCGCATTGCACGACGAATATTGCTCCCAAGCCGGATTTTGTACAGAAAGCCTCGTGAAGTCCATCTCCGCATCCGAATCTTTGCTCCAAAAGGACTTGAGCTCGTCTTGAGCTTCAACAGGTTCCTCGTGATTAGAGGAGTCACTGTCGCTCTCAAGGTCGACATCAATCTCCCAGGCACAACGGGCCATGCTGCCTTCGAATATCACGCCCTCGGCGTAGAAGTGTTCCACATCCTGAATCGCCACGCGAACCTCTGCAAGCGTAAGGCGGTGCCTCCAATCCACTTCCAACATGCGGCAAAGAATCTCGTTCACTTCAGGTGAAATGGGGAGGACGGTCGGCAAAAAGTTAGCCGGGTCCTGCAAATATGCTTGGAACGTGGGGTCTGATGATGACGCCGACTTCCACGGATTCCGACCGGTTGCAAGGTTAAGGAGAATTATTGCTAATGACCAAATGTCGTTGAATAGGGGTGAATACGAGCCTGTCGGAGCGAATTCTCCTCCTTGACATTCTAAAATAGAGATGAGTATACGCGACGATTGGAGTGGCAGAATAAATACCTGGACTCATATGATATACGCTACCCGTCCGAAACTCCTCGCTAAACCTATCAGTCGTGGCAAGACCGAAATCGGTGATCGCAACTCGCATGCCACCGTCGAAGCACAGGACATTCTCTGGCTTGAGATCACGATGGTATATGCCGAGCGAATGGCAGTACTCAACAGCGTCGAGGAGCTGTAGAAATATATGTTTGATAAGGTGGTCATGACCAAGATAGCGGCAGTTGTGTAATATCTGAGAGAAAAGGTCGCCGTCGCTAGCATAATCCATGATAATGTAGGTGTAGTTGCCCTCCTCGACCACCCTGTGCAGTGTGACCACATTCGGATGCGCTGAAGCGAGGCGATGAAGAGCTATCTCACGGATGTGGAGCTGGCGCTGCCGCGTGCTGTGGTGGATGTGGGAGCTTATGAGACACTTGACAGCGTAGGAGGTGAGTAGGGGATCACGGGTGTCAACGGCACGATAGACGACACCATAACCACCAACGCCTAGGACTTCTACGAGCTCTATGGTATTGTTGTCGATGACAGTGCCGAGAGCGGGGGGAGGAGGGGTGTTCGCAGAAGAGGATTGCTTGGACGGCATCCTGGCCGAAGTCACTTCTAGGAGAGTGGTGAGGGAGGAGGAAAGTCCTAATGGACTTGAATGGAAAGGCCTGTAGCGAGGAACGTTACGGAGAGGGAGGTAAACGGGAGAGGCGAAGAGTAATGATAGATGAGCGGCAGTTTAAATGGGTGACGTCTGTTTGGGGCGTGTTAAGCATGAGGCCGCGCCTGGTTTGGTGAGCGTGATAGATGAAGGGGGCGCAACGTTGAGATCCCCCTGCGATAATGACATTATTGGCTTTTCTACGGTTCAGACATAACCCGAGCTGTATAACATTTCATTTTGCGTATGTTTCGGGTACCCCTAAATGGAAAAGGCGGCGAGCCCTATTACCGCATTGAGAGCCAAAGTGATCGATTCCGGTCTGACACGGCTTTCCAAAGAGGAGTTACTTGCTTAGGAATCCGAGGGCGGCGGCCATCAGTCAGTGACAGACTGTAGCAGATCGACCTTTTGACTGACACAACTCTGTTAGACTCGCATTCTATGAGAAATTTCCGAATCGTACCGGTGCAACAGGGCGGGGGGGTGACTGCCGCGGATGTAGAAATACTACAGGGCTAAGGGATTGGATAATGTGTGCTTACCAATGCCCGAAAAATGGGGGTATGACATCGAGAGACGATCATTACAGATTCGTTTTGACATAATACATGTGATTTGGGGTTAGCTGCGGCTACAGCACGACAAAGTGCTGCGGTTTAGTATCCAGACGTTCTAAACGTTGCGATTAGTGGTGGATAGCCTTTGTTAATCGAGGGTTGAAACATTGCAAAGTCGGCCAACTTGTTCGTGTCGTAGCACATTGATATCGCGTGCAGTCCAAGACTAGTAAAAGCACGTGAGTAGAACGCGACGCGTTGTGGCAAATCGGAACATCGGAGTTCTAATAAACACGCATCATTTAAAGAGAGTTTACCGAACACGCCTGTACAACTTGTTGTCTTACATTTTCTAGCCGTCACATTCAACCACGCGCATCAAGCGACTCCCAGCCTACACTGCCTGCACTGCCTCCTTAGCGCATTTTTTTCCATTGCACGATTCACAGCATTCTCTTCGCCTCGTTGCTCATTCAAATATCAATGTCCGTTCGCTCCTTCACAGTCTTCCAGGACACCCCAACCGAGATTCAGAAGATCAGTCATGTTAGCGATAAAAATCTCGTGACAACAACAGCTGCGGATGCTGCTGCCACATTGCTATCAACCCTTGCCGCTATCGAGAAGGAGAACCTTCATCCGCTTACAGGTGAACGCGCGGCCCAAACTACCACAAATGCATCCAAGAAGCGCAAGACAGCAGTTTTGGTAACAAAAGTGGTGGTTCCTCCGCCGTCTTCCAAGAAGCAGAAAGAACTCAAGTCGGACTCAAAGAAACTGCGTAAATCTGCCAGTGGCAATGTAAATAGAAGCGATGGGCGTAAAAAAATTCCTAGAGGGTCACGCCCTGTACGCAAGGCTTCCCCTTTGCCAAGAGTGGATGAAGAACAAGAGCTTTCAAGTGCAACTCCAAGTCAGCGAGATCCCGCTCGTCTTATTATTTCCCAGGCCAATATAGATTCCAAGTGTTACGAGCTTACTGTCTCACCATTGGCAGACGTCTCTGAAGCGTATGACACCGCTACGGAAACTTCGGATCAAGAGTCTGTGTTTGACAAAGTTCGTGGATCCTTTTCTGTTTACCATCATCAATTGACCTTGGTTTCAGAAACAGTCTGTTGAACCAGAACTTTGCCGTTATTTCTCTCCCGCAATATCGCACGCCTCGTTACCATCTGACCAAGCGGATGCTACTCCTCTTGCTTCAAGGGCCGCTTCCGATACCGAATTATCTACTCCAGAGCGCAGACAAATCTGCTCGGCATTTACCTTTTCATCTCCGTCGCCTTCCTCGAAACGTTTTAAAGAAGCTTGGTCATCCCCAAACAACAAGACAAACGCCTCCCGTTCAGAATCATAATATCTGACATATACCCCGTCGTGAGCCCTTTGAGCTACTACTATATTGACACCTGCACACGTACAATTTACTATCACATCTTACCCCAATCTCATGTTCACATTCATCATCAACCTTCTTGTCAATAGCATTTTTTCTTCCTATTTATACATTCCATCATCGCCGACATTATTACCTTGGGTCACATCGGGTCGCATCTCGCTTGCTATGCTTCGGTCTGGTTCACTCGCTTTGGTTTGCTCGTTGCTTTGTGCCCCCAGAGTATCCGCATTGTTGGACTCCTCAAGCATTTATGTATTACGCATCTCGCATCAATATATCTTCAATTCAAGAGATTGCCGAAGAGTCTCGATACGTCTCGTTTCACTCGAATTTAGTCGTGTGCACACTACGAGCTCACTGAATATCTTCAGATGTTACTCAGACCAGAACGACTTCTTAGCGAGTTGTTGGTCATGATGACAATCATCTAACTCTCAACATTGACTTGGCTTAGCGATAGGTATATCAGGAGCCCCACATATTTTTCATCTATCGATAGAGCTGATGGCGGGAATTTACAAATGTGAGCGATATGCATGGAAAGCGCGCAGTCAGAGAACGCGCCCTCCCACCAGTTGAGCTTGCCATGGGTTTGATCAATAGCATCATCCAAAACCTCAAAGTCACTCATGAGCCCAATCTCACGCTCACCAAGCAGCTTATTACCGTGAGTATCCATTGCGGATTCAATCTTTGATTTGTTTACATAACCTTCTCCATAGAACGATGACTTACTGCCTGACGAGTCAGAGACACGCACATGGCACGGATCCAACTACGTTGCCTTCTGGATGGTCGACATGTTTAATATAAACATATGGGGGATTGTATCGTACGCCCACCGTCACCATTATGATATCATTGGCCTGTGTTGAATGAAGTTTCCAAGCTCCATAATCCAACTAGGAATGTGGTGGTGGCAAGCCCGGACATGCGTTGGCCAGGTTACGGCATTGCCACGCGTTCCTTGTTCTGAATGCGCGTCCTGGGGCCATTCTCCATGTGACGTTCCCAATTGTGAACTGCACGAGTTTCTGGACGTTTTAGAGCCTGCGGTGCGTCTTTAATGGTGCTGATATGGCATAGTACGCGTTCCTGCCTTCACAACGACGCGTGAGCTAAGCATAGCATATGGTGTGGTGTTCAAGCGAGCATCGGAGGTTCATGTTCGTAATGCTCAGGGCGATGTGGCTTAGCATTAACGCCCTCCGTGCGTTGCATTCCACGTTTCCTGTTTGTACTCAGCTGAGGCTGGGCAGTACCAAATTCGATACCAGCGTCTTGTGGAACGGATACTCGAGATTTCCTGTGCTTCTTTTTTTAGCTCATTTCGCTGCCGGTTGTGGTTCCCTTGTGCACAAGGTGTAAGTATGCTCATCCCTTCTTACGAATGTGGTCATGGAGCGTCCTTCCTCAGCCACCACCTCTTCCTCGTGATACCCATCCAAATGCTTGATCACAGCCTCATTCGCATTCCTCATACGGTGCATCGTGAAAGCTCACGGAATCGGTCCGATTGTACACCAACCTTCCATATTGCACGGATCAAAGCTAGGCTGGGCCATGGTAGTTACTAGTCAGTTCCATGTCATGCATCGCTAACTAGGTGACGCTTGTCACGAACGCACCGGACTTCCCCTCGCGCGCTCGCACCCCATCGGCCGCGCTATACCCACAACTATTCACATTTCCTCTCACTGCATCATTTATGTTAGGTCCAAATCCTCGCAGGCTCGTCATCGCAGGTAACAGTGCATGGGACAACCATCTGGTCTCCCATGAAACTTTTGGGAAATTCCTTGAATGACAAATCCGTCGGAAGCGACGATATTGGGGGTGTGTTGTTGCGATATTCCAAGAGCTGTGCTTATATCTGGACGCGCTTTGGCCGCGCCGCTTCACGTCTTCCTTTTTGCAGGTATTGTTTATGGATCTTGGCATTATTCGTGATTGCAAAGGTAAACTCGCTTGTTTTGTTTGATGTTTGGTTGCGATTCTGATGCTTCCTCTTCCAGATGGGGTGCGTCAAATAACATGTGGAACGCGGTTCCTAAGACCGTGTTTCAAGCCCGAATATCTCTGCGAACTCGGCGCCGGTCGGATGCGATCTGACCACACTGTTCCCTCGTTTCATCGCTGTATGAGCAGAACTTCCGACGGGGCTGGTATATCGCTGCTACCGTTGGTCTCGCCATGTGTCCATGGAGCATGCATGATGAAGAATAGTAACGGATTTACCTCTTACCTCTCTGCACATAGCATGTTCCAAAGTTCCATAGCTGGGGTCATGGTGTGTAGGCAATTCTGCATTCTGCGATGATTCATTTCAGCATTCCAAGCTGAGACAAACAGGGTTGCTAACGTTCAGTCCAGAACCTAAGGCCTAAGGTTTGGATCTGGTTGGTTCAGGTAGGGGTACAGTTGTAGTTCAGCCAGCTATGGCAACCGGCCGTGGGGTTTTGCTGATGGGCCACCACCCCGTCCCGAGCATACACCCAGACTAAGTCACAGACACAGACCTGGTGTCTGCGCAGACTTTCACCCAGATCGGCCATTTCAGACTCGTCCTCCTGGAGACGATGTATACTCTGCAACCATTGTTTGCTGTGATTTGGCAGAACTTGTTGTGTAAACACAATTTTCGTACTACTTTCTGCTACTTTCTGTGGAAAAAAGTGATTTACTGACGCCTCTTTTCATTTGAGAATAACTTCGCCATCTCTTCAAATATATTTACTCCATGGTCATCAAGAACATGGACGGTCTTGTCAAACCGTCTGGCCTTGCGATATCTCTTCGTTGCTTGCTCGAACTCTTGAGCATTGAAATAGGCCTCAGCAGCTTTAAGATCATCTCCTGCTCGAATGTAGCAATCCGCCGAGTTGCGATAATACTGAAGCTTTTGATTTCCTGTCTCAGTCGCCCCACAATCAGTAAAGGCACCGGCAGCCACGTTAAAAGCTTTTTTTTGGTCGCCGAGTGAGGCCACTCCGACACTAGAACGTGCGACTTCTCGCAGTCGATATGCTTCACAGACCTTCACTTCACGACGAAGGTTAGCACGTTTGAAGCAGTGGATAGCCTGCGAGTAGCTCTTGTGCGAGAATAGTGAGTGCCCGAAGGATGTCCATTCTTCCGCAGTCGAGGAGACGGCTAGATGAGGGACATTGGTGCCAGGGGTACAATTCTGGACCTGATTGCGAGACGTCCAGAATATCTAAAGGGTATCAGATCGAGTTACGCTGACACACTGTAAACGTACACGCATCGGGTCTGATTTATCTGATTTGTCAACGATCCACATGTTCTTCCTTGCTCGAGTGATCCCCACATAAAGAAATTTGAGCTAATAAAAGTAAGCCTGAGTTTATTTCGAGGATCGGTGCGTCTACCTCGCTACAAACCCCAGCGTATCGCGCCTTGTCACGATCGAACTTCGATGTATGTCCTTGACTGTCCACCACATCGAGAACTATGCGCCATCGTGACAGATCTACAACAGAATCCTCGAAAAAGTTGTACAACAATACCTGATCGAAGTCAGACATCCATCAGATAGCAAACTTAGCCTTCTCACATCATTGAATTCCAGGCCTTTGCTCTCGTTAAGGGTCCTGCACACATATGTGAACATGAAAACACAGAGTAAAGGTAGTCTTAATACAACTCACATAATCAGTCCAATTTCACCAACTTGGTCTCGTAGCTTTTGACGTGCTGCATCGTCACGCACGAGAATGCCTAGATGCCTTGTCAGTAAATGAATGAGGCCTCTGACCAATTACTTGACATTGCTGGGCTCCGAACTCAATGCGACTACCGCTGGAAGAATCCTCAGAAGGAAAGAGGGATATCGTCTAGGCATACTTACCTCGCCCCAAACAAGAATTGTTCATAACGAACGGTGTCTTTATCCCAACCGGTAAAAAATACAGGCTTCAACCCGTCAACCACCCCCTTTTCTGGCTGAAGGTTATCGATTGTGTCGGGCCAAAATTTTGTGATGAGTTCGATCACAGAGTGCGCGCAGTTGACGATGCCACCGTGCGATCTGTAGTTAATCGCCAATTGAAATGTCGTAGGTTGATGAAGACATGCTCCAGCGGAATTGACCGAGATATTGATATTCCGCTGCTGCTCTGAGGTATCAATTAAGGCCCGAGCTAAGTTACTATCTGCTGACCTCCTCATGGTAGAGAAACGCTTTCAGATCATCGAACCTGAAGGAACTCCCTGCAGAGATTGTCTGTGCGGTGTCCCCAGTCCAGAATAAACCGTCTGGATTCCTGCACAATTGCCTCAACACTATAACAGAAAGTTCTCAAGGGATTTCTGTCAACGAATGATGGAGTAGCTACTTACAGAGTGCGTCGATCAGGAGGTTGTCTTGTGCTTCGTCGACATATCTAGTGCAGGTGGTCAGGGGCAAGATGCATTGGTGAGGATAACACATACAGATAATCGACCTGCTGACCGGGGAACCCCCGGCCCTGCAGGACTTTGAGTATCGCGTGCGTGCTGTTTAGGCATATATCGTGACATTACGTGGGTGAGAAGAGAGAAAAGGTCGTACCGGTCTGCAACATCATGATGACGTCGCTGCCTCTTGATTTTCGTATAATGCTCGAAAATGTCATACAGGATTTTCCTCTGACTCGCAAAATTTGGGTTCGAACGATGAGGAAGACCAAGGTAGTTTGGGCGATCGAGAACTCCTTCAGGACAGTTCAGTGCGTGTCCGGAGCCTTTAACCACCCCTGTATGTATATTCAGGAATTGTCAGTATCAAGGTAATGCAAATAGTACTCACCCATGAATTCGCTGAAAACCAACCACGGGTCTGATGGGGCAGTGTCAGTACTTCATTGTCATCACAAGAGAAAAGACGCTACTGAGTTTCTTAGTGAGTTTCTGCGGAAAATGAGGCCAGTACTGATTTGCGAATACGTCATAGGTGACGAGACTGTCATGCGCCTCAGCATTGTTAATATTGAAGAAAAGCCCTCGGTCATCCTTGCTCAAGATATCTGCCGCGATCATCTTCACTAGCTATATAAATGATTAGCTTGAGAACTGTCCAGACGACAGATTGGGACGTACTTGATCGAAAGTTACAAAAAGAGGAAAGTGTCGATCCTCAAGTTCGCTGTATTTCATGGGTATATTCTTCTGTGATTCGGGCAGGTCGTCAAGATCAACAAGGCCCTCCTGAACGTCTTTTGCCTTCATTCTTGCAAGTTCCTGCAGGGTATAGCCTGCTAACGCCAGAGATTCGAGAAGCTTCGTGAAATACTCTTCCACTTTCGTGGCGAGCACTCTGGATTTGGTTACGAAGATTTGGCGTGGCTTCGGCATGTCAACGTCACTCATCTCCCAAGCTCGCTGAATGTCGAGAATCTTAAACAGCATCGTTGTGGTTTTTCTAATCGGGTGCAATAAATAAGCTACTCATATCAGGAGCAGGACGCCTACCCCGTGCCGCTGCGACCCAAGACGTAACATGACGTGGTACACTCAACAATCCTTTGTTCTTCAGGTCTGGACCAACATCGATCAGTAAATTCGTCTCATTGGGGCAGAAGTAACTCGCGTAAGTATAAAGACGTGTTGTACGTCTTGGTTTGCGATGAGACCTTTTTGCAAAGATGAGAAGAGGTGGCGAGCCAACTACATGATTACTCACTATGCAGGAACGCCTAAAAGAAGAGGTTATCGAGTCAATATTCACGTGCCTATAGACCGTATTTATAAGCTTACTTGCGAGAATGTGACATATTTCTCCAAACTAGAAAACCGTTAGACGGAAACCAATTTGTATAAGAATAGCGAAAATTCATACACAAGCAAAGAGTGAAGCTATGTCATGGATCAATGACAGCACAAATGACAACTGAAAAACTCAACGTAGTCCATGTCCTTGTTACTAAGACTAAGTAGGCTTCTTGAACATTCTGGCTCTGGTTTAGCTGGTGGGAATGATGCAGGCAGAATCGCTCTGTCTGTAGAAAGGACTGGTTTATTCTGAAAGATACATCTGTGCAAGCAACCATTCACTGAATTGCAACAAGAGCTGAAAAATGTCCTCACCTTTTACGATATCCTGTGCCCTTGCGTGCGAGATGGTTACCCAAGGCATCCCATATTCTGCCAATCCGATCATGCGTATAAATGCCGTATACCTTGATCACTGGAGTTCACATGAGTGCTAATGGCGGACAGATGTAATCGCTCTTGTTAGCTCACCTTGTGTTTCGGACTGTCAAGACTCCAGTCTCAGTACCATGCTCGATGTTGATGTTAGGACCTACCTTTCCATCCTGGTCAGGGACACAATCGATCTGGTACTGTGAGAAAATTGGGTCGTCTTCTGCTCTGAGCGACGTGTGTCAAATAACACCTACTACTAATCGTAGGCCACTAGTCATCTTAGCATAGTAGATAGGTATGCCTGCATCCGGCCCGTTAAGCTGCTTGTTGTTATCATCGGAGAAATGACCCTTCGATAGTTGTCTGTGGCAATGATGAGATCATTGCAGCGAAATTCATCAGAAGACAGACTTAATCTGCTTGAAGATGATCTTGAATATCTCCTTATTTGCTCTACGGAATTCAAGCAACTTTTTGTAAGCCTCCGTAGATATGAGGATTTGCCACGCTCCGAACTCATCCGCGTTGTCGAAGTAAAGCGCAGACTCCATAGGCTGCACCACTTGGTACGTATTGGGTCGGTCAGTCGGGCTCTCGACATCCTCGGTTAACGAAACTTCAGGCGCAACATCTTTTGCAGACTCTTTCACATTTGGGAGGAGTAAGGCTTTGATGTCGCCTGCCAATTCCGTCATCCGGAGAAGCGAGAGGTAGAACTTACGGAGAGGTGTCAGGGAAAACGCCAAAAAGTAGCGAATATACTCACCGAGAGAGCATTTTTCAGCCCTGCAAGAATGTGAATAGACAATGATGCGGCAGCCTTGCTCGTGAGAGGCACAACCACACCAAGCCTCACGAAGAGTGATGTGTCGATAGCCGCATGAGCTTTCGGGCGATTACGCTTGCGCATTTTCTGAGGCACTTTCTTCTTGAAGAATTCATCATCAAAGTCGACGTCGAAGAGATCAATCTCGTCTTCAAATGACCCTGCACCAGTAAATTTCATAGTGTTCAACGCGCAAAGTACAGGTAAAGCGCGCTCGATGAAGCCTCTGTGGCGGCTGATGTCCCTTGAGACATCCGTCGCTAGGGATTCAACTGGCAAAGTTAAAAAGTACATAGACAGATTGTCTAGCATTTTTCTCGCAATGGATGCTGGATATTCTTGAGATTTCGTTGGAAAGTCTGTCATGATCTGTGATATCATTGCGTCGCGGCGATCCCAAACTGTTACAGGGTCAGAGCTGATGACGCTCGAACAAAGTCTGTGAGATACCAGAAATGATGTATGCAAAAATATGGGCTGATGACAATATGTGTTCGACCGTGGCTTGTAATGCGGTTGCTCCTGAACTTGAAATTACGTCCAGATGATGCAAGAAAGCTCTGAGGCCTGCCTCGTTGGTTATTCGATCTTTAGAGAGTAAGTCCAACATGAAGAAGAGGAGTTTGTGATAATGAAGTGGTTCTAGGGAACTTGGACTTGAGCTGTGTCAATGATGGTACAAAGGAGTGCCTCGAGCTTGAAACGACTCTGCAACGAGGTCGTCCTCGTAGTATCATGTCGACCGAGCGCTCTGTCTGAATTTCCAAACAGGTTAGGGCGCAAATAGTACACCCAAATTCGACACCTGCAGGCAACCAGAAGCTGCACATGAGCGATAAACTTGGACCCTCGAATGATCCCAGATTGTGATAAGAAGTCGACCCTACCGGTGCTCGGCTGCGCCAGTCCCCGACTCAGCCAAGATATGATTTGCAGATAATTGTACATGTAAGTAGATCCGAGGTAACAGACAGTCAGCAGACATCCGAGTCAGTCCTAGGCCCAAATTTTGTGTTTTCTGAGAGAGTCGCGCTATGCCACATCGCAAGGCTCGCGAGTCGAACATTTGAACTGATTGGAAGTTGGAGAGCGGCGACGGCTCTTGCCTATTCTAGAGACTAGCGGCAGGCTTCAGCCGACCTTCAGGGCAGGCTTTTTCATGTTGCTGGTTTGGTTGAGTCGACTTAATGAAAACCGGCTGCTCGACTTGTGCTCGACGGTATACTTAATTCGCTCTCTCTGAGTCTGACGACGACGACGATATTCCAAAATTCGCATGCATATGCACCTGACCTTCACACTCACGTCTCAATCAATCATCTTGTTTTAACCTCGGAAAGACTCGGCAGGCACTCACAGGCAGGTGACTGTGGCATACTAGCATGGCAAGTTATCTCCGAGCCGATACGGAGAAACCTCATGGAATGCACTTACTTCTGTTGCGGTACTTTCTGCAGAAGTCGCCGAAGTCAAAAATTCCTGGCGGGCGCATGATGTTGAAAACATATAGTTCTGTTAGCTGCTGCTCGTTACATCTTTCAATTGTTCATTCACTTTTATCAGAAACGGAGGGCGAATTTTGAGGATCTTGACGACCTAACATCTGAATCATCTGAGGGAGCTGCCACTTACAGTGGCAGCCTGGTAAGGTCAAGATATCATGTGAAAATGGGTGTCAGGGACATTAATTGCCGCCGCATGGTGGCGTTAGCCATGCACGATAAGCATCGAGTTAAAGACCTGCGAGTCCGAGCGCGTGAAAGATGGTAGCGCCCTCTTACCATTTCAACTTGTCATGGGCCTGCTTGATAGGATCGTCCAAAGCTTCGAAGTCACTCATGACTCCAACCTCACCATTACCGAGCAGCTCGTTGCCGTGAGTATCCACAATGGATACGATCCCTCCCTCAGGCGCATGTACTGACGGCAATTTGCTCTATGATAGAACTACGATTTGCTGCCTGTTGAGCCGGAGAAACGCACATGGCGTGCATACAACTACATTGCCTTCTGGACAGCGGACACGTTCAACATAAACATGTGGATGATCGTATCGTACGCTCACCATCATCATTATTTTGGTCGGTACTAAATGAAATTTCCAAGCTCCATGATCCAACTAGGGATGTCGTGGTGGCAAGCCTGGATATGCGTCTGGCTTGGTTATGGCGTTGCCGCGCCTTTCCTTGTCCTGAATGCACGTCCTGGTGCTATCTTCCATGTGATGTTTCCAATCGTGAATCGCACGAGCTTCGGGATGTTTGGGAGTCTGTGGTGTGTCTTTAATCGAGCCGCTATGGCATGGTGCGCCTTCCTGGCTTTGCAATGATGCGCGAGCTAAGCAACATAGTATATGGTATGGCGTCCAGGCGAGCATCGGAGGTTCCTGTGTGCTCGTAATGCTCAGAGCAATGTGGCCTAGCATATATGACCTGCGTGCGTTTATCATTTTCTGTGATAATCATACTCAACTGAAGCTGGCCGATAGCAAATTCGATGCCCGCGTCCTCTGGAACGGACACTCGAGATTTCCTATGCTTCTTCCTATTCTGGCTCATTTCGCTGCCGATCATTTGGTTCCCTGTGCACAAGGTGTAAGTACATTCACATCTTCCCATGAAGACGGTCATAAAGTGACCTTCCTCAGCCGCCACTTCTTCCTTGTGACACCCATCCTGATGCCCATAGCCTCGATCACATTTCTCATATGGTGCATTGTGAAAGCTCACGGGATCGGCCCGATCCTGCATCAACCTTCAACACTGCACGGATCGAAGCTAGGCTGGGCTATGGTGGTCAGTTCGATGTCATGCATCAGTAACGAGGTAACCCTGGTCACCAACGCACCAGATTTTGCCTCCCGCGCTCGCACCTCATCCGCCGCGCTATACCCACAATTGTTTGCGATTCCTCTAAGTGCGGCGTTTGTAAGTTTGATTGGAATCCTTGTGAGCTCGTCGTCGCAGGCAATTTACGGGACAGCCATTTGGTCACCCATCGAACTGTTGGGAAATTTCTTGAACGACAATCCGTCGAAAGCAACGAGATTCGGGGTGTGTGATTGTGATATCCGACGAGCTTGGTCTACGTCTGACACGCTTTCGCGTCTTCTTCCTCCTTGCAGGTATGGTTTATCTCAGCATCATTCATGCTTGCACAGGTGACGTCACGTGTTTTCTTTGCTATTGCGAATCTAATGCCTCTTCTCCTTCTAGATGGGGTGTGTCAAATAACATACCAGACTTCAGAACGGGCCTCGAGCTGACATTTGTTATCAAGCACGAACATCTGCGCAAATTCAGTGTCGGCAGGATGCGATTTGACCGCACTGTTCCCTCGTTTTATTGTATGCATATCTGGTGTATACTCAGAACTAACATACTCAAGAACCAACCGCAGAACATCCGACGTGGCGGGTATATCGCTGCTACCGTTGGTCTCGCCATGTGTCCATGGAGCCTCCTGAAAAATAGTAATGAGTTCACTTCTTACCTCTCCGCGTATTCAGTGTTCTTGAGCTCCATTGCTGGGGTGATGGTATGTAGGCGCTTCTGTAATTGTTCTTTTCACTATTGTGAACGGGTTGCTGCAGGTGACAGAATACTACATCGTCCGCAAGGGTCATTATAACGTGAAGGACCTCTATAGCACCAAAAAGGGCAGCTGGTACTGGTACACGTATGGGGTCAACTTCCGGTGAGAGTTTTGATTGCCTTGAAGCGTTCAACCCTGACAAGTGCTGTTAAGGGCATACACTGCGTATATTGCCGGGATCCTTATTAACGTTGTCGGTTTCGCTGGAGCCAGTGAGTTGCCCCCACGGTCGTGATACATCGATCCTGAAATGTTATTTCTCAGCTGGGCGCACAGTCCCTCTAGCAGCTACTCGGATATATGAATTGTCGTTCTTTACGGGCTTTGGAGTCTCTGCAATTGTCTATTGGGCGTTAAATCACGTCTTCCCGGTAATCGGTGCCGCTGACACGTTCGAGGAAATCGACGTATCTGGATATGAACGTACGGCACGCAGTTTACGGGATGTTGAGGAAGTAGACGACGAGACGAAGGACGGGGGATCAGATCATTCTGCGAGCAAAAGATAAGGAATTTACCAAACCTCTGCAAATACCATAAATTATGGAAAGTCAGACAACCGTGCTCACACATCAAGGTTATTGATATTTAGGAGAGGTTTATATGTTGTACAAAATGTGACCAAAATTTTGGACCAGTAACACTACTGAATCAGGTATAATTGCCTGAGATTGCAAGTATATGAAGAGGTTTTGTTGATTCTGTACACGCTCTCCCTCACTGGAGACAACCCCATGCAAGCAGAAGAATGTACTAGCCACACCGGCTTAAACTGCAATTACTATTGCAGGACTTGCGATATCGGTGGGACAAAATAATATAAGGTGTCTGGTGATGGGTACACCAGTCTTTTCATGGTAGGAATATATTTGAACTACATTCTAATAGCTAATATTGTGCCTGCAGTCAGGCAATCTACAAACACCTGAAAATACAATGGCAGAGGTCCGAAAACAGTTTGAGATCGCATTGAAGTCAGGAGCATCAGAGAAGATCAAGAACTCAGTATCATTGACTGGTGTTCATGATTCCACTTTTAGTTTGATCCTCAATGTGTTAGTAGAGCTTGGAAAGAAACTTTGAAAGTGTGCAGCTGGTACCCAAGCAATGCCCGAAGCCGAAGTTACAGCTGTCCTGGAGAAAGAGTTCATAGAACTTTGCAAGGTCACAAGCTCAATGACACTATTAACCCATTGTTGGGAATCGAAGGTTAGTTTAGTACTCTAGTGATTTTGAACTCTCATTCACACTCTTAGCAGGCCTTGATATACACATGGACACTCCAATGGAAATTCTGCACACAATACTGCTCGGTATCATCAAGTATTTTTGGGGGCAAACCATGTTTTTGCTCAACAAGGCAAAGCTCATGGGCATCTTTCAAGTCTGTCTTGAGTCTGTTGATAACATCACCAAAACTGTCCAATGTATATATAACCATATATACACATGTAACCACTGTAACATACTGTAACGACTGTGACTAGTATCTATAACAGCGCCTAGAATACATACCAATATACCGAATCGATTTTTATGATATGATCACTGTCATGTTCCAGAACACTGTATGGCTGTATTGTCTTATATTTAGTTATAACATTAAATCACAATGATATCCCATAATAACCATATATCATTGAGTTATACGAATACATGTGGCACAGTGGTATATAATCTAATGTAATAGTGGTAACCACATACCGATCATCTGGACATGAGCACTGAATTTGAAAAGAGTATATGGGTGATGTCATTGAAGACTGCCACGAAAAACGAAGTCCATGTGAGTAGAAAAATGCTATCAAGTCCGTTAGGGTAGTACATGAGCAGATGAGCAAATGAGTCGGGTAATGCAAATGTGAATGGAGACGGTGAAAATGATGCGGAGTGAACCTGATACAAGCAAGCGAAGGTTATAAGTATCGAGCAGACTACGAGAATGTTGCGACTCACGTTGAATAACTATTTCTTGGACTTGTGTTTCAGAGGCTTCTTGGATGGCGCAGCAACACTCTTTCGTTTGCGCTTCTTAGCAGGCTGGATGATCTCTTCATCTTCTTCTGTTAGAGGGCTGTCATCATCTAGAATGGCTGCAACAGATCTGGGGGCTTGCTGGCGCTTACCCGAGTTGACAGGAGGATCTGGGGGAGGGGAGCGTGCGGGTAAGACCGTCTCCTCATGCAAGTTGACAGGAGGATCAGGGGGAGGGGAGCATGCAAGGCCTTCATCATGCGATCCTTGAGAAGGAAGTGATGGGGGATTAGCCGGTCCTTGGGCTACAGGAGAATCTGGAAGGGGCGACCTATTAGGAGTAGGGGACTTGCGATGCGACTCTTGTTGCTTATCGAGCACCGAAGACTGTGTAGATGTCATGTCTGAGGATTCGGAAGCCCGTGCTGCACGTGCGGCAAGTTGCCGTTCTATGGCGATCATGTCGTCATCCTCTGAACACTCAACATTTGCAGAGTGACTAAGTCTGGCACCATTTTCATTGCCAAACAATTTCCTAGATCTGTGTTAGATAAGAGAATAGTGTAGGAAATCACTTACTTGTTATAATGTCCTAGCAGGGAGTCGACCCACTCCCCATCTATCCTCCCCCAAATTAAGTTGACTATCCTGGTATAAAAGTCAGTGTAATAAAATAAGGTGTCCCGATCTTTCCATTTGTTGAGCAAGCTAATTGCAAAGTGAGCCTGTCCAGTACAGATTAAGTAAATAAAATGCGCATCAAAAAACACCTACCTGAACTGCGGCATATGCGATATGCTCAGCCACCACCCCCGCCATCCCATGGGGTTTCGCATTGCAAGCACATGTGCCATTAGAGATGCCGGCCTTGAGTGCAGATGACGGAGACGTAAATACGTGTTTAGTAACCTGTATATATTAGAGTCGTCCGATATAATTGAATAAAAAAATGTACTCGCTCCAAAAGATATCCACAAAAAAGCCCTTCAAGTATATCCTCGGAGTCGAAGTCTTCACCTGCAATGTCGCCTGGATAGAGATAAGCGGGCCACAAGGCAGCGGTTATCTTCAATGACCCGCTATCAAATTTGCTCTTCATCCTGTAGTGCCTACCGTTAATACAACTGACTGAAAAATAAATAGAACATACCTGTGTGGATCCTTGATGTAGTCGGCCCGATATTTAGCTGGACAAAGCATTTTGCCCAGCTGGACATGGTTGAATCCCATTTTGGCACGACTCTTGCTGTTGTCATTGATTGGAGGGTGGACAACGTCTTTGTCGGGGTTTGGGGCTGCGTATGAGCCCATGCGTGACTTGAGGCAACTTGCATCCTCAGAGCGCGTGTGATTTATCATGTTATCATGTTTTGCATCTGTAAATAGTTAGCTCTGATTAGTATAAATGAAAGTTACGCACCTCGCCAATGAGTTGCGTGAGCTCCTCGCGTTTTTTCCTCCAGCCAATCAGAGTCCCAAGATAAGGGGTGTGTTCCATGACATATTCAAACGTCCACTTGTACCGCGCATGAGTGATTTCATCACTAAAAACAATATTAGTGCGCATATATGCGGTCATATGTACTTACCAGTCAGCCAGAATCTTCTTCCAGGCAGCCCTAATTTGCTCTTCTTCCATTTCATCTCCGTCCTTGGCTGCTTCTTCCTGGTCTAAAAGTAAACATACCTGGATCACCTGTTTGAGATCGCAGAACATGTCTAGGCCGCGTGGGATCCAATGTGCAACGTGGATACACTGCTCCCGCGGCATAAGAACTTTATTGCGTGATCTTCTAGAATCTCGTCAATCTGAAATGTAGATGAATAAAAAATCTCTCACCTTTTTGGCTTTTCATTCTTCTTATCGATCATCACAGGGCTACTACTACGTCTATATGCTGCAGGTGAGTTCTGATCTGAACAACTGACAGTATCACTCACCTGGCCTTTTTGGACTTACATCCGCCCTTGTCAGACGATTGAGACGCATCCCTTCCACGTTTGCGTGGTATAGTGGGTGGTGGTGTGCTGGGGCGCGTACTTACATCAGAGTCTTCAGAGCTAGACCCTGAAGATGCAGATGCAGATGCCAAAGAAATAGAGTCAGAGCGTTTGCGGCAAGCCATGGTGTTGGAGAGCTGAGAAAGATTTAAATAAGATGGCAATCATGCATATGATCGACGTGTTATTGATATTTGTTTGTATCTACTATTAATAACACATCAGACCAATATGATACTGGCAGACGCAATACAGGCACATCTGCAATGTTTTATTGCAGTATACTGACAAATGAGTGCATGTACGATCAGACACGACATGCGATCAAATTGAGCAAAAAAGTAATGTACATACAATTGAGCAGCTTGAATCTAGTGATATACACGTAGTACAATGTAAAAAAAAGAAGACCTACACCGATGCAGTGGAGCCATCTTCCTCCTGGTCATCCGAGTCCAGTTCTTCAGTTTTTTGCTTGACGTAGTAGCTCCAGGGTGCGGTGGGATTTTTGGGGTCTGGATTGGGGTTGCCAGCACACCTGGTAAGAAGGTCACAAAGGGATGCAACCAGAGGCCTTAAGAAAGATCAGTTGAAATTTAAATTGAAAACGCTGGCAACTTACTGAAAATCTGGACCAATCACTTCATCTTCGACCACCATGACATTGGTTCCGGCCTCCGCATCATCAGTCTGCATCTCCACGTCATCCCCACTATCGCCGTTCCCCTCATCTTTGGGCTCAGATTCAGTCGCCGAGTCATCTGCACCCGCCAAGTTGTTACTGGTATTGAAGACGGTGGCAGGCTGTTGGCCGCCGATGCGAAAAACAATAGTCTATCAAATAAAAATTAGTTTTTTTTTTAATGAGAAAAGAAAATTACCTTGAGGCCGGGAGAATCTACATTGAGATTGAAGAAGTAAGTATTGTCTATGGAGATGGCATTTTGGATATCAATAAACGCAACATTGCCAAAGACGTTTAGCGCAGTGCCGGCAGCAGTGACATTAGACATTGGTTAATATTAAAGTTGATAAACTTAGCCACCAAACAAGTTTTGATATTTTCGGAAATTTCCGATGGAGGTTGAATTTGATATCAACCAAACAACGATCATGATATCACCTTACTTTCGATCACATGTCGATCATATACCCTTATTTTCGATCATATGCAAGCTACTATACATCCCACTTAGATACAGGTAGGCATCCAACTCAAATGTCTCTACTGAAGTTTCTAGGTTAAGATCTGCCACCGCGAGATCATCCTGCCTACTAAGGTGGATGTCATGCGTGTCATTTGCGCAAACTTGTGCTTGAGACGATCAATTTTATTGCAGTAAGTTTCTAGTAATTGACCTGCCCATTGACGTGTCGTGCAGGATTTATCTCACTTGTCGTGTGGCATGGATTCACAGGATACTCTGCTGGGTTTTGGTGATTCTGACTGATGATTCTGACAACATTTCTAGTTAATGGTATGTCCGTTTTCCATTTTCTACTGAGATTGGCGCTTGACTCTTACTTTCAGTTGTTAAATTATAAATGTACATTTAAAGTAGACTATGGCAATATATCATGGACCGTTTAAATATGCTACTCATAAGTTCTGAAACTGATTAAGACACGTCCCCTCCCCTCCCCCTTCACTGCATTTTATCCATGGTCAATGACCTTTGCTGCTTAGCCTGTGGTGCAGCATTTTGTTCGCGCAGGCAGCTGTCAGCGCATACAAGCCAATGCGCACTTAGTTTCGCTCTTACTGACCAAATTTTTGATCGGAAGTGGAAGTCAGAGAAGAAGAGAAAGAGAAAGGACAAGAGGGCTCGTCGTGGCGAGTCCCCCAATCACTTACCTGACGATGTTGTTATTCCAGAGCAACCGGAGGTGTGAGACATCATGTCTATCAATCAGGAATACTTTTACAATGATGTATGTATTTTATTTGCTTCATCGGTGTTCAACTGACTATAAGTAAACATTTCCTAGATTGAAATGGGTCGCCCACCATCTCCCTCACCCCCACCTGTTGTCTCCCAGCACTCTGGGCGGAGAATCTGCATGCCCGCTCGCTTTGCAGACTTCCTGCCAGGGTCCGCAACTCACCTTGCGCATATGTCACCCTCTGACCACCAGCAACACGGACATCATAATGATGTCATCGTGGATCAACCTCTCCCCCAGCCTCGTACACCTTCCCCGCCGCAGTCAGAGCATGAGGACCCCTTCCCTCTCGTCCCCTTTGAAACAGAACCTGATGAAGCAGGTCTCTACTGCCTGTATCCTACCTGCCCCACCTTACTCTCCAACAATGATACCCTCGAGGATGTTACTGATGCTCCCACACTTGCTGGAGGTAACTGTATTCCAGATTTGAGTTGCATCACTGAAGGCTTGTCATCCAAGGAGATCAGTCAGGAGGATCTCTATGCAGCTTTCTCCAATCCCACCTCCGGCCTCCTTATGGCCTATCAGTATTCTGGAACTGGTCAGCAGTCTGTCGCCAAATTGCAGCACCTCACCACTTTCATTGGTGATCTGCTATTTGATCATAGTGATGCTCTTTCATTTTTCCATACCCGGGAATCAAAAAACATTGATGCCTATTTGCAGAAATCATCCAATCCGTTCCGCGAGGAATATGGCTGGTGCCAATCTGCTGTCACGATCAGGCTACCTAAAGAGGGTAAGAAATGGAGCGCTGAGGCTGAGGCCCCAGAACTCGAAATACCCGGAGTCTATCACCGCTCGATCACTGATATAATAGAGTCCGTTTTCAAGGATGACGTCATGACGACCTTCAACATGACTCCTTATCGCGAGTTCTGGAAATCTCCCAATGGACATAGCATCGAGGTGTTCTCAGAAGCATACTTCAGCCCCGAAATGATCAAGACATACGCCGGGATTAATGATCTGCCTCGCGAAGCAGGAGACAACCTTGAGCGTGTTGTCGCATCTCTCATGATGTGGTCAGATGCAACTCATCTTGCGAGTTTCAGCGATGCTTCACTTTGGCCTTTCTACCTTTATTTTGGCAATCAATCAAAGTATACTCGAGGGAAACCAACCACATTTGCGTGTCACCACATCGCTTACATTCCTTCAGTAAGTTGTCTATTTGAAATGTACTGAGTATCTACTAACTCTAAACCGATCTTCAGTTGCCCGAAGATCTCCAAGATCAGTATATGAGTGTATTTGGCGAGCCTAGTACTAACCAAGTCTATACGCATTGCAAACACGAGCTAATGAAGGCTATATGGGCTCTACTGCTGGATGAGGATTTCATGCACACCTACCAGTATGGCATGGTAATAAAATGTGGTGATGGCATCACTTGCCGAGTCTTCCCTCATTTTTTTACATACTCAGCCAACTATCCCAAGAAGTAAGTACCTTAATTAATATCCTGACACATGTATGTTAATGTTTCTCAGAGTTATTCTCACAGGCATCAAAAATCTCGGACGGTGCCTTTGTCCGCGCTGTCTCACGAGGAATGACGAGGTTCCTTTGATGGGAACAAAGGTGGATATGAAACGTCGGCTCAGACACATGTGAAAGGATGATCAGATACACTGCCGAGAAGTCGATGACGCCCGGGCACTCATTTTTCAGTTGGGCGTGTCTGTTGATGGGACTTGTGTCCAGAACATACTAAACTCGGAGTCATTGGTACCAACTCGAGTCAGTTTTTTATATTGTTTCACTCCCTACTAATAATTGATGGTATTTGATACATAGAACACATTTTCTGTGAAGTTATCACCTCATGGGTTCAACCGTTTCCATATGTTCGTGGTTGACGAACTTCACGAGTTTGAACTCGGTGTATGGAAGGCAAAATTTACTCATTTGATGCGCATTTTGCATGCGGCTGGTGGAGATTCTGTCCAGACACTGAATAGAAGGTATGTATTTTCAAATTTCTATTACATCTACTAAATCGAGCTACGCTGACTTTTGGTAGAGGAACCATCAGGAAGTTCAATTCCAATGCGTTGGCTATGAAACATTTAGCTGCGAGGGATTTTGAGGATCTGCTGCAGGTAAGTGTCAGTTCCAACTTTCTTGATTTGGTTTTTAATGATCTGTATATATTTATAGTGCGCGCTTCCAGTCTTCGAGGGCTTACTGCCAGGTGACGATAATACCATGGTTTTGGACCTTCTATTTGACCTGGCAACTTGGCACGGCTTTGCAAAGTTGTGAATGCATACCGAGGACACCCTTAGGTTTTTCAATGCTGCCACAGTCACTCTGGGGCAGACGGTGCACAAATTTTCTCGTACTACATGTAAGGTTTATGATACATCAGAACTACCCCACGAGTATGCAACACGTGGCCGACAGGAAGCTGCATTAGCTTCCAAGCTTGGAGAAGCAGACCCAAAGGGCAGGGTAGTTTCTTCTGGCCCAAAGCAGAAGAAACTCAATCTAATGACCTACAAGTATCATGCTCTGGGAGATTACCCTGATAAAATCTGACAGTTTGGTACTACTGATAGCTTCAGCACACAGCCAGTAAGTTTTGATTTGGTCGTGCGTGTATATACCACATACTAATTAGTACTGTTTCAATTACTAGGGCGAACTTCAGCATAGGCGTGTAAAATGCTGGTATCCGAAAACCCCCAAAGGCAAGAAGAACACAGTCTCGAGTATGATGCGGATTGAGACAAGGGAACAACTACTAGGAAAGATTGTGAAAGCACGAGCTGCATTGGCATCAAGAGAAGGTGATGCCGGATCACAGTGCCGCCAACGCAATCAGACGTCACCAGCCAATCACTACCACATTTCCAAATACACCAGAGCCTCGTTTGATCTCACAGAATGGCTCAGTAAACTACCGGAGGATGATCAAACAGTAGTGGTGCGTCTTTGTTTTTAAAACCTCTAAATTATTTCATTTGACACAAGGAACAGGATTTTATTCCAAGACTCAAGGATCATCTGCTCGCACGTCTTTGGGGTATCGAGTACACCGGAGATGAGCTGGATTTTACTGATGAAGATCATGCACAGATTATAATTGCTAACAATAAAATCTACGAGCACAGCGTCCTCCAGATCAACTACACTACATATGACTTACGGCAAGAGCAAGATTCGCTGAACCCACGTACCCGTGCCGACGTCATGGTCTTGTCACACAAGAACGACGATGTGCGGCACCCTTATTGGTATGCATAGATCATCCAGATCTTCTATGTTGATATTTGGGACTGCAATGACGTATCCATGGAGAAACCATGCCAAATGCAATTTTTGTTGGTGTGATGGTTTGGACATGACGCACATTACCAATCCGGTTGGTCTGCAAAATGTTTGCATCACATTGGCTTTCTCAGAGGCGAGGACAGCGCCTTCAGTTTTCTGGATCCTGATGTCATCATTTGAGGTGTTCATCTTATTCCAGCATTTGAATCTGGCAAAAATAATGAGCTTCCTAATCCATTTGTTCGACATGGGGCAGATTTGAATGAAGATTGGCTCTATTTTTACGTAAACATGTGAGTTTAGTGTACCTATCTACTTCTAATCAATTCATTGACCCTATTCATAGGTTTGTAGATCGAGATATGTTTATGCGATACTGAGGGGGAGGTATCGGCCACACTATAACCCGTGAATGGGATGAGTTCCTGCAAAGTGATGGGGCACAGGTGATAAATGAAGAGGCAGAAGAACAGGAGGATGAAGCTGGGGAGGACAAGGGGGAGGACAAGGGGGAGGATGATGAGGGTGAGATTGGGGAGGAAGAGGAAGATGAGGGTGAGATCGGCGAGGACGAAGATGACAAAGAAGAAGATGATCCCAATAGGATAGAAGCAGACGAGGGAGAAGAGTTAGATGATGATTTTCTGATAGTGGAAGGCTATGGTGCTCTGTAATTTGATATTCCAGGTTTTCATGTTTAATTTGTGGTGTGACCCGTTATTAATTCACCATGTTCAATCTTGGAGCTCATTATTGGGAGGCCGCAGAGTGCATTTGTTTCTATTGCACATATATGCATTTATAACTGTAGCGAGGTACATATAATAGTACTACCACCTTATAACTACGATATAATGTTGCTACCACTGTGTTTGAGCTGCGCCAAAGGTTATGTAAGGGTGGCAACGTGTTTATAATGTGTAATGTTTGTATGACTCACAATTCCCAATCAGGTAATGTTACGTGTTGTGACATTTGAAGAGTTTTGCTGATGAAGGACAGACTCAATGCTCCATGCTTGAATGCAGACTACATCTGTCATTACAAAGGCAGTCTCATAGGGAAACATTTCAAAAGCTTGGCACAAGTGATGCCATTTTTAATTTATGATCTTGTTCTTTCAATTGTTCTCAATGCATGGACCATGATAGGAGAGCTCGTCATACTTGTCTGGCACATGATGATTGTGGATACGGAAGCTTATCTTGTAGTTTTATGCAGAGATATGCAATAACTTTAGTTCATTCTTTTCTAGGCAAAGCTGTCTTGAATGATTCAAAATTTTATTAATGTTACAGCATAGTGCACACCTAGCATCATTATAAGCAAGCCCAAATTTCATTTCTTAGTTCATCTCCCAGCATATATTTGACATTTCAGACCAGCAGTAATATTTTTGACCGAATGATATGAGTCCTTCAACCATGTATTTTGTTTGTCATGTGTATACAGTAATCACCAAGCGCAAAGCTGCGACTCCTGCTGAACATTCACTTATCAAGATGTTGTCAAGCACATTGCCATGAGTGGGTATTGGTATGATACCAAAGCCTCAAAATGGGTTCAGGGAGGAGCACAAATTATAGGGTATCTCAATGAACACCCAGAGCAAGCACAATTGCTTAGGTTATTGGTCTTCAATCATAATACTCCAGTACCTGGTAGTCCCAGCCTATTATTTTACTCTATCACTACTGATTCTTTCCCACAGGTTCTGGGAAAGTTTAGACTTCTCTTGGTGCTAACGGAAAAATGGCAAGACATGATATAGTAGCCTGGAAAGAAACTTATTGCTCGAAGATCCTGAAAACTGCCCAGCCTGGCATCACCTACTATCAAGGCAAATCAGTTGTAGTGAGGGAAGGGGATATTGCATATCTGAATAGTCATGTTATTTTTCATCAAACAACCAATGGTCAGGTGAGTTGTCATATCCCGTATTCCGGACTTACATCCGACAATATTCCCACACCTCATCCGGACCTTCGGACACCCTATCCATGTCTCCAGTCCTCTATCCATCCGGATCCCTGCACCTCTGCACATCCACATCCACATCCACATCCCTTTACCTCCATACCTCAGCTAGCCTGCATTAGTCATCCTTTGTCCCATCACCCTAATGTCATATCCCATATATCCACGCGTCTCATCCGGACGTCCGGTCTGATCCGGTCTGATCTGATCTGATCTGATATACGATAAGCTTCCTAATTCAATTCCTGTGCATATAACGTTAACACAGCCTATTCCTCTATTCGGTATTCCTTGTCCTCGGTATCTCGGTCATACTTACTACCGGTATGCTTACTGATCCATTAACCTATGCTTCATTTCTGACTTGCACTTGATAACTTTGCTTATGCTTCATACATAGCCTCGGATGCTTGCTTACTGATCTTTCCATTATTTCCTTAGTATATAAACTCTTGTATATGTCCTGTAGTTCCTCAGTCTGAATATCATATTAGTCCTCACACTAGATCTCACTCTAAGTCCTCATATCAGTTCTAGTCTATCGACTTAGTCAATATCCATCTCGGGCCTAGGGAGAAATTCCCTAGGCCAGAGTTCCGCTTATCCGCTCATCTGATCCTCCGAAGTTTCCGGACGTTCATCCAAAACTTTCCTGCGGTCCTCCAGACCTATTCTGCTTTGGACTTTGTCCTTGCAGCCTTTCCTCTGTTTGCTTCTACTTAGGACTTGTCCTAAGTAGCCATTACACGTATCCGTATCAGGACGAAACATCATCGTAATTTCCGGAAGTTCCTCCGGAACTTTCCCGCACTCGTCCGGAAGTTACTTGCACTCGTCCAGAAAGTCCTTCCAAACTTTCCCGCGCTTCGGATGTCCTTCGGACGTCCTTGGACTTTCTTCGGACATCATTCTGAAATTAAGGGCACATACTCGGGTAAGGGGCACAGCGCACGAGCTGAAGCCAAGCCCCTCGGAATCAGTCCTACCCTTTGTGCATGGTCTTAACATGAGTGAATTTTTCACTATATGGTTCTTGATTAATTGTTAGACATGTATCAGACATGTTTGCAAGATCCTCATGTCATCTGAGAATCTGAACACCATTGTTCATGTTGGATTCCAGCTCTTTTCATTTGCAAACACTTTGCATGCTTCTGTCCATCTACCCTGTCTGAACCTGATTGATGACGAGGTTGTTATACTGGCAGCAGTAAATTTGATATGCCATTGATTATGTGTGCTATTTCTGACCCTCGTGAGACTATAGGATATCATATGTGTCATTAATCTCCAGCACAACTGTGTTGATTCACAGTGTACAGACACCATCAAGGAACCTGTACGCCAAGAATGGCTTGAAACTTCTCATGCAAAACCTATCATTCAGCACAAGTCAACCCTACACTACTTCATCAACACCTACTCTATTCATAACTACAATCATATCAATCTTGTAATTCCTGAGACACTTCATGAATCACCACTGAGGGTTACAAATATCACAGAGGTTCAGGAAATGGCCATACAACAAATGAAGCAGAAGAAGACTCTGAAGAAATCTGATGATGCACCTCAACTAGATGCTAATATGGAACATGATACCCAAATTCCTCTGGTGGCAGTTCCCTCCTTTGATTGTGCCCCTCCAAAGTCAAGGACAGCTAGTGTTTTGAGGTCCGGTCCGGTCCGGTTTTTTGACCCTATTTGGAGGCAACTGGACCAGGACCAATATTTTTGGTCTTTTGCAGTCCTGCAACTGGTTTTAGACTGGTCCATGAGCAGACCGGTCTGCAACTAGTCCAGACCCAAAGCCCACATCAATATGATTATTTTGAGCCTCTTATCTTGTCTAACAGTGTCCTGCATGATGTGGGAATCATGCATGGACATATCTATCAATACTACCATCACTAGCAGACCCCCTTGAGGATGAAGACGAAACACTATCACAACCAAGTGCTAATACTTCCAGTGAAGATGAGTCAATCTCACAAAGTGATTGACTTATATAATCCAACCCAACCCTCCCAAACAAAAGAGACCACTGTAACAACACTATCTATCGAGAATGCATCATATGAGAAATATGATTGCACAATCATGGAGACTACTACAAACCAAAGAGCACGAATCAATTCCTTCCTCGCTACACAATTGGAAACCATAGCATATCCACTTGGGAGTTATTACTACAGCTCCATCATCATATTCATGAGCACACAACTGGGGACAGTTGTGATTTCACTGCCCCGCAGATGTCCTGCATGATACAGAAATCATGCATGGACATAACTACTACTAGGAATGACCCTCAAAGATTATGTCTGTCAGCACAGTCCTCAGACTAGTCACCCCATACCTTGGTATCAAACCTTGGTCCTATATTTCAAGTTTTATATGGAAGAAGAAGAAAAAGTCATATGTGAAATGGGAATCACAGAACGACCTAGTTTATATGTGAAGTAAAATGAAGGTTAAGGTATTGCCTTACCTTTGGCTTATTCACTTTGGCTAGAGAAAACCATTGAGAAAAGCTCAAAGCCTAACAAAAACCTATCTAAAAGGCCTGTGTCTTGCATATTGTATTTGTATCATTGTTTCTATCTTGTTTTCTCTAGCATTGTTCTTTTATTTTCTTTTATTTAGGATGCTATGACCTACCAGATACTCCAAAAAATATTATTTACAAGTATGATGTCATAATGATGTCATATAGCTCCACAGAAAGTTCTAGACTATTCTGTTGGAAATTATGATGTAATGTATGAAGTCATAATGATGTCATAGGCTCTAGAATATTCTAGCTCCACTATGATGTCATCTCTAATGTCATTGCTCCATCTTTTATTTGTATTTTATACTTTTATTGGATTTCACCCAATATTCTGATTGGTTCTCTCTTTATTTTATTGTTTGCAAACCTACATTACTTTCCCATACAAAATGTATATAAGGAGAGCCCATTCTCCCCCCAAAAACAGATTTCCCTCCTCTAGGAAATTTTCTTCTCAGAGAAACCCCCCTCAGTTGAACAAGACATCTCACTTGTCAAGATCTCCCACTTGTAGCAGAACAAGTGCAGGGAAACATATCCCTTGAGAATACAAGTTTCTTACGATAAGAAGCTTATGTTACTGTATATTTGACCAACTCGTGCCTTGGTCAATGTGATTATTTTTGAGATTGTTGTCTCACCCGTACTATTTGTGCCTATTTGACCAACCAGTCTTTTGTCAATGTGATATTCCAGAAGACCCCTTTGTCTCTACTACTATTCGTGCCTAGAACGTGCAATCTAGGCAAAGCTATTTGTACTTCAGACCACAGTTCTGAATCTAGGTAGCAAATCCTAGACAAAGCAATTGGAGGTACACATAAAAGCTCCGGCTAAGTTGATCACCTGATTGGTTTAGCGAGCCTCCCAAGAACTCACACATTATCTACCACGAAAGAAGAAAAGTTGTAGACCGTGTTAATCGAGGACTGGCAAGAAGTCTTATCCAAGTGTAATTGTGGTGTCATTACATTCTTACACACTTTATATAAGACCCTCGGTTATTAAGACAACGGGTAAGATTTGAGCAAGTTATGAGCATTACAGACAGGCTTGTATGACTTTTATGAGCAATTATTGAAATGCTCATAACTTTCCCAAATCTTGACTGTTGTAGCACTCGAGCTCGTGCTAGGCTCGTATTCAGTTATTCCATGATCCACGTCAAATGCCCATCGCACGATAATCACTTCCTGTCCTGTCTTGCTAGCCCCACTAGGTGCGTAGTTCATTATTTTGCACATTACTCATGTCGTGGCCAGCGCTATTACATGTTTTCCCATAGTCCACAGCGCCTCGTGTTTATTTACATGTACTTTGGATCTGAAATATTCCACAGCTACTTTCGCCTACAGGTTCTGCATTTTTATGTACCTACATATATATTGGACTGACCTCGAGCATTATTCATCATCCAAGTAGTAGGGAGCCATTTCCCAACACTTTGTAGTCAAACCTGATATTTCATAGTTCTTAGTTGACATTGCAAATATTACCACTCTTTCTATCCAAAATACCCATCATTATCAATATCTCCACATACTGCTCGCTTTCCCGACATTTGCTATCACTATTTTCTGTAACCCGCTGAATCTGTACCCAAAACCTGCTAGTCCACTAACCTGACACTTTGGTGTCAGACTCGTGATTATACCTTTGGACTTTGTTTCCTGCACTTGGACTTTTGATCACTTATCATTTCACTACCTTAAGACTAATTCCAGATAGCTAACCCCTCGGGTCAAATGCACTTATCTAGCAAGTATAGCAGATTAGGCTGTGCAAGACCACAACATTTTGTATTGCTGGTTACTTACTTCATGTAGTGTCCAGCAATTGTTGTCTCATTACACCATTTTTTATGATCCAACCAGTGATAAATGCACCTAAATTAGCACAATCATACAGTAATATATAGGGTAGGGTTAGGGTTACAAAAGACTGGTTGCAACCAGTTTGAACCAATTTTCCTTAGTTTTTCTATTTTTGGGCCGATGGGAGGCAACTGAGACTGCAGTCCGGTCCAGTTGCCAGTCTTTTTGCAGTCTGGCAACTGGACTTTAAAACACTAAGGACAGCTGCAAAATCAAAGGCAAAGGCAACCACTTCTGGCATGCAAAGGAAGGCAGCAACATCAAAGACTGGTCAAGCAATCACTGGACCCTCTAGCCAGCTTCTGCCTGCTCAGTGTCATATCCCGCGTTCCGGACCCGGACCTATCACACACATCATTTCCAGAAGTCCGGATCCGGCCGACGTCTATCTATGTTCGGATCCGACCCGCATCTAACTTCCGTGCCTTATCCCTTTGTATGTTCCTACTCCAGTTAGACCATATCATTTTCCGTACCTCATTTCATTTCCGCCTTTATTTTCATCTGTTCTAATCTCCGGGTTCATTTACTATTTTCCGATAGACTAGTGTTTGACTTTTCTATACGCTCCGTCCACAGCTTTGTATAGCTTCGGACTGCGCATCTCTGTTCTCCGATAAGTCCTCAGTAGTATATAAACCCTGTAGAATCTATGTACATCCTTAGTTCGAATATCATCTTAGACTCTGCTCATTCTCTCCTCCGTCCGACTTGAGTTTCTCTCTCGTCGACCTCCGCTCGTCTTAGGATTGACTCCTATAGACTTGTCACCTCCGCCTCTACCTTTGGTAGTCCTCCGCTGTTTCCTTTCTAGTTCGGACTTCGTCCGGATTAGTCTTATCTCTTGTTCCCGAACGTCCGCCGGAATTCCCGCGCATCGGACATCGGACTCCGGACATCGCCCGACGCCCTCCGGACATTGTCCGGTAACCTTCGGACATCGTTCGACAGCCTTCGGAAGTTAGGGGCACGTACTCGGGTAAGGGGCGCAGCGCACGAGCTGAAGCCAAGCCCTTCGGATCCGACCCTTGAGCACGTTCTTAACACTCAGCAAGACTTAACAATTCATATTGAAGATCACCAAAATTAAGCCTACTTTGCGCTACCACCAGGATTCCCTCCTCCCCAGTACTACTACCCTCCTCACCATTCACAACTTCCTCCACCACAGCTATATAGTCCACCACCACCAGCTCTGTATCTTCACTTGGGAGGTTCACAATAACATCATGAGGTTTTAGAAAGGTCATATATCGGTGAGTTCTTCATTATTATTATAGCATCAAAAATCTAACTACACTCAGGCTATAACATGTACCCAAATCAATCTAAACCGCATCTACAGCAACAGTGCCTGCACTTCCATCTGCACCCACACCCACACCTGCACCTTCACCCACACCTACAACATTAGTTAGTAGTGGTGGAATACTGCTACTGCAACTGCAAAACATACTGCAACTGCGACAGTGCTTGCTTCCGCTACTGCAACAAGTCTTAATCCACTTCTCACCCTTAGAGAGCCGCTACATCAGGTGGAAGAAAAGCGACACTTGCCACTCCCAGCGGTATCAAGGCTCTCTGACCCATCTGTTGCCAACCCGCACTGTAGCAATAGCAGCAACATGCTCTCTGCTGCTGTGACCACAAAACATACTGCAACTGCAACTGCAACAGTGCCTGCTCCTGCTACCACAACAAGCCTTCATCCACTTCTCACCCTTTAGAGGTGCAGCACCAGGTGGAAGAAAAGCAACACTTGCTGCTCCCAGCTGTATCAAGGTTCTCTGGTATCTGTCATGCTAACCTATCTTGTAGATAGAGAAAATTTGCTTTGCAGCCTCAATAAAGTACTATCTATAAATATAACATATACTTATAATATGGATTTGAACTCCATCTCCCTTCTGTCTGATTTGTCTTGGTGTGCGACAATTGACAATTATTGGTTTGGGTGAATTGGATTGAATTGAATTAACATAAACTCAATTAAGTGTGTTTTTGACTTTTCATGAAATTTGAACCAACTCAGTACTGATTGTCCTGCTCCCTCACTGTCTGCAACATCATGATCTCACAGCATCCTGTGCATGCTTGCAGGAAGCCACAAGCTAGGCAAACGACAGCAAATAGTCTACTCACACCTGTCAATGCCCTGCTTAGCCGAGGGAGGAGTATGTCAGCCAGCAATAGAGGATCTCTACCACCTTCAGCATGTGGTTCACAACCACGTGGTAATATCAGTCATGCACGCTCACCTCTAGCAGCCCACCCATCATTGGCCTCAACTGAGATGGCTCAGATTGCTGCCATAGCTCCTATTAGCATTCCATGTGCACCATCATTCAATGGCTCCCTGAACAAACCTATAACTATTGGTGTGCATCGCCAAAGGGTAGATTCTGGTGTGAGTCTGGGTTACCCTCTTACCCTTATGCCCCGCAACATGAAACAGCTTAAAGTCTATGCAAATCAAGTCATGGAGAAGGTTGGTGTTCCAATCACCAGTCTTTATGAGTTTATTGATATATGTATTTTTAACTCGCTGTAAACATACATGATTTAGTGTTCCTTCAGTGTGGAGAGATATACCAGATGCTTGTCAGGATTGTAGCCCTTGTGCTCAAGAATGACGGTGACGAAAAACTTAGATTGCTCGCCAATGTTAAGACCATGCACAAAGGGTAGGACTGATTCCAAGGGGCTTGGCTTCAGCTCGTGCGCTGCGCCCCTTACCCGAGTATGTGCCCTTAACTTCAGAATGAAGTCCGGAGAAAGTCCAGTGAAGTCCGAAGGACCTCCGGAGAAGCGTGGGAAACTTCGGAAGGACTTTCCGGACGAGTGCGAGAAACTTCCGGATGAGTGCGGGAAAGTTCCGGAGGAACTTCCGGAAATTATGATGGAGTTTCGTCCTGACGGGGATATGTATAATGGCTACTCAGGACGAGTCCTGAGTAGAAGGAAACAGAGGAAAGGCTGCAAGGACAAAGTCCGAAGCAGAATAGGTCCGGAGGACCGCGGGAAAGTTCCGGAGGAACTTCCGGAAACTCGGAGGAATGGAGGATCGGATGAGTGGATGAGTGGATGAGTGGATGAGTGGAGGATCGGAGGAGCGGAGGAGCGGAGGAGCGGAGGAGCGGAGGAGCGGAGGAGCGGAGGAGCGGAGGAGCGGAGGAGCGGAGGAGCGGAGGAGCGGAGGAGCGGAGCTCCGGCCTAGGGAATTCCTCCCTAGGCCTGAGATGGATGATTACTGAGTCGGAGGAATAGAACTGTTACGAGGACTCAGTGTGAAGACTAGTGCGAGGACTAATATGTGTATGATATTCAGACTGAGGAAATACAGGAGTATCTACTGGGGTTTATATACTAGAGGCAAGTCTGTGCAGATCAGTAAGCAGAGGGGTAAGGCTATGTACGAGCATGTGGAAATGTATTAGAAAATAAGACGGATCATAGGAAATGAACTCGGAGATGAAATGAGGTACGGAAAATGAGGAAGTCTAACTCAAGAAGGAACATACAAAGGGATAAGGCACGGAAGATAGATGCGAGTCGGATCCGGATGTCCGGAGATGAATGCGTGATAGGTCCGGGTCCGGAACGCAAGGAAGATAGACGTGGGTCGGATCCGGATGTTCGGAAGTCCGGAGACAGGTGATTACCATAAGGGGATGGGCGCTGATTTAAGGTTTGGGTTCGGACATGACAGATAGGTCGGATCCGGAGATCCGGAGATGTGGATATCAGATCTGGCATCCGGATATCAGATGCAGGAGTACAGGGATCCGGACGGATAGAGGATTGGGTCTGGAGACATGGACAGGAGGTCCGGAGGTCCGGATGAGGCGTGGGAACGTCGTCAGATGTTGGTCCGGAATGCGGGATATGACAGCCAATCTGAAGGAGTTACTGGGCTCTAAAGATTTTAAGGTATTATTTGCCATCTCTGTATACATCATGAGTCTAACTTATTATTTATTGAGTTAGCAGACAGATATGCACAAGGTATATGAATGTATCCAAGGCTATCCGAAGTGCAGGAACATACGACTGAAGGTGCAGAAAGTGCGGGAAAGTGCAGACAAGGTATAGGAAAGTCAAGGAACAAGGTTTCAAGAGAGCGAGGGCAAAGGTATATTGTGAGGTAAGGAATGTCTAGGTATAGAGAGGTATAAGAGACCTAATAGGGGCTAAAAAGCACGCACTACAAGGGACAACTTCAAAGATAAACCTAATGGGTGAGGTATACAGTACAAGGGAAGTGTAGTAAGTAATCTAAAGTATAGGTAACTTATACTGTCTAGAATCTCACTCAGAGTAGGAAGGGATAGGAAGTATAGTAAATATGTAAGGACATGTAATAAGGCTGCAACACATTTTACAAGCCTTGAGGTAAGGAAATTCACATACCAATGGGGTTTGGACAGACTATGGATGGATGAGGGACTTTCCTAATGTGTTTTCCGAGGTATCTGAAGTGCGGGAATGCGGGTCCAATGCGGTGGATGCATGGGAAAGTGTGGGTTTGGCTTCACACAAAGGTTACTTGCTAGACAAATGATGGAAAATAATAAGGAAACCTATACTCCACTATACTCCTTGACACATATATGAAAACAGCCTGTTTGCTGCCCAGTGTGGGTCTGAGTGTCACACCGTTCCTCTGGATACTCTTTACTCCCTCCTGCTTATACCTTCTCTTCCAAAAGAAGTCCACCAAAAAATTGGACCACAGCTTGGTGTCAATATCAACGAGATAGAGCGCAACATGCTCAATGGTGATGCTGAAAAGGACGACAATGACACTGATACCTTTCAAGATGATGTTGCTCATGAAAATGCAGCCCCCAGAAATGTTGATAGCAGTGATGGCCAGGATAAGAATGAGAATATTGATGCAGATGTGGACTATGATAAGGATGACACCAACTTTGAGGCTGATGTGGGTGACCTGGTGGACATTAATGTGGATGGATCAGTGGTCACAGAGAAAGGCAGGTCTGAGTCTGACCTCTACACAGTGGGAAGATTTTGAAATTTTGTAGACTCTTTGCCTACAAGCGCATGCAAGGCTGCAAAGGAGCAAGCAATGGAAGACAAGGGTCTAGCATATGAGGAAGCATATAGCAAGTAGGTTTCTTGTTACCGGGTGTTGTGCCTTGTTGCTGATTATCATGAAGCGTCCTTGTGCAGTATCTACATACTGCAGGATCTTTCTGATTTTCCTGGAAATACCAAAGTTTCAATGCTCCTCTCCACCAACTGTCCCCAGTGGCAATTGCCTATTCAGAACCAACTCCTTTGGAGCCACATGTAACACTCATTTATACTCTGCCTTGTGCATACTTCACATAAACCAGTGTAGCACTCGAGCTTGTGCTAGGCTCGTATTCAGCTATTTCCCAATGCATGTCAAACACCCATCGCACATGAATCACTTCCCGATGTTATCTGACACTTACTTGCTCAATCCAATGTTTATCTGCTAACCCGACATGTCCCGCGCATTAGACCCAATATTTTCCCGCTGTAGCACTTGGACTGGTGTTGGTCACATATCAGGGTAATCTCATAGGTACCTCACATTATACTCCTCGACACTTCTTTTCTCTTCCGAGAGTTCTGTGCACTCATCTGAGTTGCCTGAAGGTCGTCCACCCTCTTCCAAGGCCTGTATACACTTCTGATCCTCTGTACCATGTCCCTTCTGTGTCTGTTTGACTTCGCTGGTGCATTTTCACTTGGTTTATCTGTTATTGATTATGTCTTAGGGGCACATACATCGAAATGCCTGATTAATACATATAGCTGTGTACCTCATGTGCTATTACATGCATATCTCTGTAGTGGCTTACCATGAGTCTTATTACATTTCAGATAGCTTATCTTGCTACTAGTTTCGCCTACACAATTCTGGACTTTCATGCTGTAGGATATAATCTGGCTCGCTAGATACTTGCACTTCACTTCACTTTCCTTGTTACGAGTCATAGTTTGTAGAGTCACTGACTCACTTCGGATAGTCATACTTCACGCAATCGATCTTTTGTTCATTCAGAATGATTTTTTGACCTGACCACTGCCATTTCACATCTTGCTGTCTCTTAGTTCTTCCAATGGGCTTTGTGTAGTTGTACTTCAGTACTTCTGCTAGTCTTATACTTTGACACACTTTGACACACCCACCATATTTCTCTCTTGGAATCTTTGCTGTTCACCAGAAGCTCTTCAGATGCTTTGCGCAACCTCGGACCTTCGTTTCTTGACGTCGGACCATCTTCAGACACTTCAGGCGCACCTTTGGAAACACAGAACATACTTTAGGTATCTTTCCTTCTCTCACCTTTGATCTTAACAAGACATCCCTTGCATCATATATCAAGAGGTAGTTCTATAGGCAGTCTCTTTGGGATGAGCATTACACTCGCGCATTGAGTTCTAAGGTAATACAATTTGTAGTGCCTACAACAAATCAACTCTTTACACCACGCACTTGTCCTCCCTATGTCCTGTCCTGTCATATATATCCCCATTAGGTGCACAGGGATCTGTTTTCACGTCACTAATACTGTAGACTGCATTATTACATGTCTGCAGTACCACATGTCTTATTACATAGGACATTGGACCTGAAAATTACCGCTACTATTTTCGCCTATAGCGCTCCTAAATTCTACATAGACACTATATATTTCACATACCTCCTACTTACTTATCTACCTTTCTACCTCTGAGTAGGAGGAGGTCATTGGATATTTGTAGTTCTTCACTGAATTCTGCAAATATCATCCTTTCTTTATCCAAAACACCCTGAAACATCTCACAGTAACCCAACATTCACTATCCCCGACATTTGTTACATCCCTGATGCTAATCTGACATAACCCAATGAAACCTGCTAACTCAAAAGCCCAAAAACATTGGACCCGACATTTTTACCTTCAGACTTTGTTTCCTGTGCTTCGGACTATCTTCCTTTTTATATAACTAATTATTCTAATACCTTACAGCGAACCCCTCAGGTCGAATGCACTTGTCTTGCAAGTATAGCAGACTAGGCTGTGCTAGACCACAACATTTTATATTGCTGGTTACTTACTTTGTGTAGTGTCTAGCAATTGTTGTTTCATTACACCGGTATCCCTACACCATAGTAATCATGCCTATACCTACCATCCACCAATAATCCAATGTTTTGTGTGGCTCATTTCATTTATTTTGCACTCTTTGAGTGTGAGGATGGTGTGCAGGTATCATCCGAGTATATTATATCTGAAAATTGGATGCCTATCAAGGTATCGAGCATATCTATACACAACATATAAAAGCCACCCTGTGTGACAGGTATGAACCAGATGTGGTACAAGATATATTCAGACACTGTCATTTCAGATATAGACTAAAGCTTGGGTGACTGATATATTTTGAGTGTCTTAGTGATGTGTCTCAGTGGTCATTAGTATATCTCTCAAACCCCACACATTCTCTCTTCACTAGGACTGTCTTGGTGATGTGTCTCAGTGGTCATTAGAATATCTCTCAAACCCCGCACATTCTCTCTTCACTAGGACTATAATATATTTATCTCCAATAAGTGGTGCGAAAGTTATATGACCAAGGTGGTGGAAATATGTGCCAAGGCTTACCATTTTTGGGACTGTACAACAGTTTTTCGGCAGCAAGTAGTGTATCAAAAGTGTTACTGTAAATCAAAACTCCACAATTAAGTACACAGCACATGAACTCACAACACACTATACAAATGGGCAGAGTGTGAAAAGGCATTGCAGCAGATGTGTGACATGGTGTGATAAAGTGTGTGAACTCTAGGGAAAATGCACTTTTCTGCGCGGTAACTCTCCACTGGACTCAACACATCGATTTTTGATGTCACACTGTTGAACTGTCAAAGAATTAATTTTGTTTATTTGTGTGATGTGGAGTAATAAATGATCTAGTAAGGGTGAGTGTCCAAGATAATCTGATCTGATTCCTCCAAGAACCCTGCCCAAGTAACCCATGATGTTGTGAATCATATTGTGGGCTTGCATGTAGCTGATGGACATATCATTTGAGGACTACAAATAGAAGATAACGTGGCAAGAACTTACAAAGAGGTCATCTGATCACAGCAACCCTAGCTTTATTCATGATGCCAAAGAGCAGTACAATGTTCTTCCACTCAAGTTGGGAAATGAATTAGCAATAATCCTTATGTAACCAAGATCATTGTGTGTACAACAATTCAGATGGTGTATACTGAACAATGTGTTGGGTCTTGCTTGCCTAAGCTGCTATGCTTGTAGTGACAAGTGTGTTCGACCCTAAAGGGGAATCAAGTGCAGCATGGATCTAGGGATTGGCGCAGAGGGTGCCGCTCGTCAGCCAATGTGAAGTGTGGGAAAGCACAAGCACAGAAATGGAGTACTTGATGAGCACGAAGCATGGGAAAAGCGCGCAGAGTAGCGCGAGGTGGGGATATAAGGAGAGGCTTGTAATAGACGTCAATGGGATGTTCTTATTACCAATAGCTACTGACTATGGCTCGGGATGGATGAGCTATACACTGATAGTGTGGTGTAGGAAGCTTCTATATGATTCAATTATGTAAAACATGAACTACAGGCACTTATATATGTCTAAAAATGCGCCCCTGAAGTGGAGCCAAAGCACTAGCAAGGAGAGTAGGTAAAATATGTAATAAGGGTCCATGACATGATGGTGAGCAAATGATTAAAGTCTAATATGGTCTGATATGAAGATAATGACATGAAAATGTACCAATGAGGTTAGTTTGGACAATGGATGGATGTGCAATGTAGGGCGCTTCGAGCGTGCTAGGTGCGTGCATATGAATGTGGGAATGTAGCACACGCTTGGTGCGAGATATGTAGATGATAGGTATCGCGGGATATCCAAGTTACAGGGCGAGGCTGGTTGCTTTGTCACCTGCCAGTAACTCGTTGTCAATGAAATAGTACAAAAAAAGTATGGTACCTACATCATTATCTTGATCACGAGATCCAATACAGGGAATCTTAGAACTGATGGAGAATGGTGAAGGCGAAGGTGAGTCCAGGGCCCAGGAACATCTTAATTCTGCGCCAAACACAAGTGTTATTCATACAAAGTATTGCCTTGGTTGGGGTCACAACAGCACACACAAAGAAGATTAGAGAATGTTCCTTGGGATACTAAGTCAGCATGACAGTGGGATCATGGCATCTTATCACTGGCTAAACACCCTATGTTGGTTTAAGTGTGCAGAATACTGGCTAAAACTTTGCAAGCTGCCTCACAGTCTGAGCAACTGCAGGGGCCAGTAGATATTGATGTTTGTGCGCATGCAAGGCCCTGAGAGGATAAATGACATGGTGGATGTATGAGAAGATGTGCGTGATCCAACTAGTGCAGCCCAATCAACATAACCAACATGTCCATGCCCAATGTTCCAAAGGACGCACTCGCCATGACTCAAAGATCATCAAGACCGCTCAAAATCAGTAAATGAAAATGCCAAAATGAGCTGGAATATGTTTAACATGTGTGGGATGGTCCCTAGCATGCGCCAGGACCATATTTTTTTCCAGGAAGGGTGTAGTTCTAGGTGGGCCTCACCCTAATTCCACAGGGGAGTAATTTAGCCCACCAGACATTTCCTGGGTAAATAAACACAGTCCCACAAGCAGTGTGACAGCCAGACCCCTGATCAGATGTGAGATGGTGACATTATAATACTGAGGCCAAGGCCTGGAGCATCGCTCCCTTTTGAAGCCAGCTTAGGGGCACAACTTGGTGCTCTGTCACATATGGCAAATTCATGCCCAGCTAATTGAGTTTATCATAAGTCCTCATTCTCGAAAAACGTACTAGCAAGTATCTATCTTTGCCCCCTGTTCTGCTCCCTTCCTCCCAACCCAAACTTTCCTTGATCACAACCAATCCTAACTTAAAACACACCAAGATGCCAGCCTTGCTGCAAGCAGTCCCCACAGTGAGTGTTCTAAGTCGGCACCTTTTTTCGCCCTCACTTGGGCACTCAACCAGCTTGTCCAAAGCAATGCCACCAGCAGGCTGAGCTTCTCAGGACATTTCTCACTGCCACAGCTGCATCGGGGGTGTTCCTCAAGGCTGGGGGAGGCTTTGTCTCTGTTTTTGTTGGTATTGCTTCTCTGGCCATGATCTGTCACATTGTGACTAGACTGTTTGGTTTTGGATTCAAGTGCTACTTCCTCAGTCTGAATATCATATTAGTTCTCGCTGTAAAGAGTTAATTCTGTGTGGGCGCTACAAATTGTATTACCTTAGAACTCAATGTGCAAGTGTAATGCTCATCCCAAAGAGACTGCCTATAGAACTACCTCTTGATATATGATGCAAGGGATGTCTTGTTAAGATCAAAGGTGAGAGAAGGAAAGATACCTAAGGTGCATTCTGTGTTTCCAAAGGTGCGTCTGAAGTGTCTGAAGATGGTCTGATGTTAAGAAACAAAGGTCCGAGGTTGCATGAAGCATCTGAAGAGTCTCCAATGAACAGCAAAGGTTCCAAGAGAGGAATATGGTGGGTTTTTTGAAGTGTGTTGAAGTGTAAGACTAGCAGAAGTACTGAAGTATGACTAAACAAAGCCCATTGGAAGAACTAAGAGACAGCAAGATGTGAAATGGCAGTGGTCAGGTCAAACAATCATTCTGAATGAACAAAAGATCGATTGCGTGAAGTATGACTATCCGAAGTGAGTCAGTGACTCTACAAACTATGACTCGTAACAAGGAAAGTGAAGTGAAGTGCAAGTATCTAGCGAGCCAGATTATATCCTACAGCATGAAAGTCCAGAATTGTGTAGGCGAAACTAGTAGCAAGATAAGCTATCTGAAATGTAATAAGATTCATGGCAAGCCACTACAGAGATATGCATGTAATAGCACATGAGGCGCGCAGCTATACATATTAATCAGGCATTTCAATGTATGTGCCCCTAAGACATAATCAATAACAGATAAACCAAGTGAAAATGCACCAGCGAAGTCAAACAGACACAGAAGGGACATGATACAGAGGATCAGAAGTGTATACAGGCCTCGGAAGGAGACGGACAACCTTCAGATGTCTCAGATGAGCACATGGAACTCTCAGAAGAGAAAAGGAGTGTCGAGGAGTATAATGAGAGGCACCTATGAGATTGGCAGGATACACGATCAACACCAGTCTGAGTGCTACATCACACTAGATCTCACACTAAGTCTTCATATCAGCTTTAGTCCTCCAATTTTATCAATATCCATCTTAGGCCTAGGGAGGAATTCCCTAGGCCAGAGCTACACTCCTCTGCTCCTCTGATTCTCCATTCCTTGAAATCCTATTGTAATTTTTGGAAGTTTCCCACACCCCTCCGGAAGTTTCTCACACTCGGCTGGAAGATCCATCCAAAGTTCCCTGTGCTCATCCAGAAATCCTTTAGACTTCCTTGGACTTTCTCTAGACTTCATTCTGAAATTAAGGGCACATACTCGGATAAGGGGCACAGCACATGAGCTGAAGCCAAGCCCCTCAGAATCAGTCCTACCCTTTGTGCATGGTCCTAACAGTATTTGTGATTGTACCAATCTAAATAGCAGCAATAAGCTGTCATATAAATTGCAGAGGAGATAGAATTAAGAGCTGCCCCTCAAATAGGCTCTAAACCAGGATGGGAATCATGCATAGTCTGAATTACAGAGTCCTCAAGCCCCATACCCTCCATCAATGATATAATGTATCTCTTCAAACTCTTGGCAGCATCATCCAGCATGTGTCCCACATCATCCATCTATAACATGAAGTAAAGGGTCTGCAGGCAGCAAATTGAGGTTAGAAAGTAGTAACTACTAATAGGATGAGCATATACTATGTACCTCCTCTGTGAATGTAGCAACACTCTTGTTATTGAAATCAAAGTGACCATCCGCACTATGTTTGTACATGCTGTAGTGGATCTCACTGATATTTATCTAAGTATGAGACTTGATCTTCACTAATGTAAACTTTAAGCTCTTCTGTTAAGACCATGCACAAAGGGTAGGACTGATTCCGAGGGGCTTGGCTTCAGCTCGTGCGCTGCGCCCCTTACCCGAGTATGTGCCCTTAATTTCAGAATGATGTCCGAAGAAAGTCCAAGGACGTCCGAAGGACATCCGAAGCGCGGGAAAGTTTGGAAGGACTTTCTGGACGAGTGCAAGTAACTTCCGGACGAGTGCGGGAAAGTTCCGGAAATTACGATGAGGTTTCGTCCTGATACGGATACGTGTAATGGCTACTTAGGACAAGTCCTAAGTAGAAGCAAACAGAGGAAAGGCTGCAAGGACAAAGTCCGAAGCAGAATAGGTCCGGAGGACCGCGGGAAAGTTTCGGACGAACGTCCGGAAACTTCGGAGGAGCGGATGAGCGGATGAGCGGGGATCGGATAAGTGGAGCTCTGGCCTAGGGAATTTCTCCCTAGGCCCGAGATGGATATTGACTAAGTCGATAGACTAGAACTGATGTGAGGACTTAGAGTGAGATCTAGTGCGAGGACTAATATGATATTCAGACTGAGGAACTACAGGACATATACAAGAGTTTATATACTAAGGAAATAACGGAAAGATCAGTAAGCAAGCATCCGAGGCTATGTATGAAGCATAAGCACAGTTATCAAGCGCGAGTCGGAAATGAAGCATAGGTTAACGGATCAGTAAGCATACTGGTAGTAAGTATAAGCGAGATACCGAGGACAAGGAATAACGAATAGAGGAATAGGCTGTGTTAACGTTATATGCACAGGAATTGAATTAGGAAGCTTATCGTATATCGGATCAGACCGGACTGGACCGGACGTCCGGATGAGACGCGTGGATTGAGGTATGGAGGTAAATGTATGTGGATGTGGATGTGGATGTGCAGGGGTGCAGGGATCCGGATGGATAGAGGACTGGAGACATGAATAGGGTGTCCGAAGGTCCGGATGAGGCGTGGGAATATTGTCGGATGTAGGTCCGGAATACGGGATATGACATCTTCTTAATACAGGAAGGGATGAACTCCTCATAATCCAATGTAGGAGCCAAGCAAAGTTGTTGAGCAGTGACATTCCCTTCTTATGGCTAATGCTATTTGGTTTGCTTTTGGAAGGATATCACAAAGTGTGATTAATCTCTTAATAGCTGTCACATGTGATGCTCAGCTTGCGCACTATGCAGTTAGTATCCGAAGAAGGTCTGCATTCTCCCACCCATTTGCAAAACTGCTTTGCTACCACCATCTCATCTGACTCCATATCCTCTGGTGGTTGTATTGTAATGATAAGATGCAAATCTGATATGTTTATAAAGTCCTTGTTCTGGATACAGTGATGTAGGTACATAGTGATGTTAATCAAAAGTTTGTTGTAAGGGATGGCTTTTGTAAACTTGTTGATGGCCTTCACAAGGTGTGCAGTCAGTTGTTTATGGATAAGAAGTGGGGGCATGATGTAAAGATCTCAGGTATCTGCAAAGTAGATGAATATGTAGCAAAAGATGGGCTGTAGTCAGTATATGTATATGACTCAGTTACTACTCTACTATTTACTTTGCTCTGACTTCAAATTCTTGTTCTTCTGACATAAACACTATCACTGCTGTATACTCTGTAGGCATAATGTTGGCAATGACCTCAGATGATGGTAAATATCAATCTACAATGTTGAGTGTACTAGATCAACCTATGATTATATGATGTTGAGGATGTTGTAGTGCTTCGAGGATGATCACATAATGGTCTTTAAATTTGTAACAATGAATGATCAGGAAGGAGATTAGTAGGTGTAGTAAGTGATCTGAGAAATACTAACCTAAACTTAAATAATCTTAATTATTATCCAAGGCTGCATATTGAATGTTGAGTCTTGTCTTTACTGCTATCTTAAGGTCTTCAAGAACTTACTTGTCTTGCAGTTCTGTGTTTGTTAGAACACCATTGTACAAGGAATAGGAGATTTTTTGGACTTGGAGTTGATCTTATTGTACACATGGAGGAGGAGGAGGAGGAGGAGGAGAAGAAGAAGGGGTAATCAAAGTGTTTGAAGGCAATTTTGAAAGCCAAGACTTTGAACTCTTTGAGAGTTTGTAACAAAAAGCTGGAAGAGCATGCCAGTGAGAGTACCAGTGATAGACATCAAGAGAGGGATGATGATAACCAGTGGCTTTCAATCATGTGCTACTTACTCCCATTAACATTTAAAAAGCCACATGATAGTGATGCACAGCACTATGAAGCAAGTCCTTGTGCAAGATAGGCTTGCACAGTGCCTTATGATAATACATAGTGATATATAGTGTTATGCAGGCACACAGAGTTCATTAACCATTAATAAAGTTTACCTTTAACCTAGCTGTGGCATCTACACGGTCACTCAGCTTGAACCCCAACTATACCATGTGATTCTCGTACTTATCGTTTATTTTCTTTGACATTATCCTACAGTCCAAGTTATTCCGACGCTCTGCGTCTCCCTACCCTATGCCCTTGTTATTTCACGTGTTACATTACAGAAAAGCTATAAAAGACCCAGTAGTTAGACTAGTTACGTTTGGCGTTCTTGCAACTAAGCTATTACCTGGTGACATTGCTTGATCGTCTTAAGACTTGTTTCTGTGTGCCTTCAACTCAAGTGTTACCACTTCGAGCTATCGTCACATATTTTTTCACCTTCCCCTAGCTTAATCTAAATCTACCCACTGCCGTTCTCAATAACCTAGGTTTGGCCAACCTCTGGTGACGAGTCGGCAACAACAATCAATTTCAGAAATCTACAAATACAAACATGACTACTGTTCACTATGATTTGCGACCCCTCAATCAGCGCGCTTGGAAGATACTTCCCACACTGAAACCTCCCGGCGCTCTACCAAACTCACCCTTCGACTCACCATTGATGGCCTTGGACGACACCCCTGAGACAGCACCCTTCGAGGTGACTAGATCGGAGACATCTGTCCTTAGGACCATCCGCTCTTGCAGTGACGTCATCCGGGTGAGAAGCCCTTGGTTTGGCCTTCGTGGCCCCAAGGAGAAGACCATGGAGCAGGTCTCCGTGGCAGAGAATACCCCTGATAACCATACTGAGTCAGTAGAGGACGTGAATAGAATATTGAGTATGACCTTACCTCCTGCTCCTAGTGCAGCAGGTCCAGACTCTGAAAGCGATGAGTCCGACGATGACGGTTGTCCTTGGATCACGGTTCGACAAAAGCAAAGCCCTGAGGGTGCCTTTTCCGGCAAAGTGAAACCGGACCCTGCTGAACCTCATGTGTTGATGATGGAGCAGGAGAGCCTCGTGAGAGAGGCTGAGCGTCGTCTAACACACGACGAACATGAGAAATTGCATCGAAGACAGTCTAAGATACACTCACAAGCTGAATCCCACACATCCTTAGCAGCGGGACCCTCAAAGGGTAAAGCAACGGACCCAAGGAAATGGGGAGCATCTGGTCTTGACAAAGGAGACCTAGATCTGGACACCCAGCACACTGCATTCGAAGCCTGGAATGCTGCTAAGGCAGCAAGAGAGGTGACCAGCAATGGCGAGGAAGAAGGCAGCTTAGAACACGTGCCTGAGGTCAAGAGCATCAAGGTGTCCAAGGAGGAACTCAAAAGGCTCATACACAAACGAGCTGTAGAAGCTGTCCGCGTTGCGGAGGTTAGACTAGAATGCAAATATGAGAAAAAGATTCGCAAGCTCAAGAAAGACTCAGCACCTACCAAGGAAAGCACTGGGACAGCGGTGCGTCTGCAGCCGGTGCAGTCTATGATCGAGAAGGTTGTAAAACCCTTGACCAAGACCCGAGCTGCAAGTGAGATGCCTCGGGCAATGCAGCCAGTGCACCAAGTGACGGCCCAGAGCTACATTGGGCGGGCGCTCAGTAGAGTTCAGTCCAGAGAACCCAAAGGAAAAACTCACAACGATTCTGATCCGTCAAGCGATGACCCGAGTAGTAGCAGCTCGAGCGAGTCGACATTGAGCGAATCGTCCAACGAAGCATCCAAAAGTTCGACAACTGACTCGTCAAAGAAATGACGAACTAAGAAATCGTTGTGTAGCCGTAAGAAATCTTCAAAGAAGAAGAAAAAGAAGAAACATACCATCTTGAAACCGGTACCTCCCACAGTGTATGATGGGGAGGTAGACTCTAGGGCGTTTCACAGGTTCATAACTGAAGGAACCGCTTATGTAAAGGATGGGTGTGTCAAGCACAAGGCGCGCGTATTCACCTTGTCGAGGTACTTGACTGGTAAAGTGCATGAGTTTTATATCAGAGAAGTGGCGGGAGACCCTTACTGTTGGCAATTGCCTGAGTTCTTCAACGAACTATTCAACCACTGCTTTCCAGTCAATTTACAGACTGAACTGTGTGCCAAGCTTAAGAAATGCTACCAGAATGATAAGACAGTAAGAGCTTACTTCTATGAGCTCAGCAAGCTGTGGAACATGATTGGGGACATCGACAAAAGACATCGTGTTGAACGGTTGTGGTTTGGCTTGAGAACCAACATCTAACGAGAGCTGTGGAAGAAAGAGTTAAACCCGGAAGTATCCACGTTTAACGCAGTACTTGCCGCAGCTGAGATCATCGAGATCTCCCAGTCTGTACCCGTCAGTAGAGAGTGGAAGTCCCAGACAAGGGGGTGACCAATCTGGAGAGTTCCTTGGTGACCCCAGAGAAGAAGTGTGAGGGTACAAACTCACAAAGATGTGATTGCCACAGAGACACACCCAAGGACCAAAGGTCCCAGGATAAGAACTGATCTAGACCGGAGGGTGGGGCTATGCCCCAGGGTACCACAAGTAAGAAGTTCGAGCCCCTGCCAAAGGAGGAGCACAATAGGTGGCTGCTGAAGGGAAGTGCTCTCATTCTAAGCTTTACGTGTATACATAAGACTCTCCCTTTCAACGGAAAGTGAGACACATATCTAAGGACGACAAAGTTGAAACAGACTTTCATAGGTTGAAACACGACCTACTAGGCTGAAACAAACCTAATGAATTATCCAGAACACAGAACAATCCACAACACTTTGTATAAGACTACACAAGAAGAGGACAACAAACTAAATCCTCCCAAGAACTCACCACGTTACCTCCCACAGAGTAGAAAAGTCGGAGACCGTAGACTTAAGGACTGGCAAGAAGTCTTCACTGTGTATAATTGTGTTGTCATTATACACAACTTTTATAGAAGACCCTTAAGTAACAAGACAGCGGTCAAGTCCTTGGAGTCCTGCTTCATCAGCGAGCTGCTCATATGCATCAATGAATTCAGCGAGGTTGTCTGTAGTGCCATCGAACTTGAGCGCGTTTGTTGTGCCACGGATGGGCATTCTAAAGGGCATTGAAGCGTGGGAAAGGCGCGAGAATGCGCGACTAAAAATGGTTAGCTTGTGAAGATGCAAAGAGATTGACCTATATGCGCGAAATGGCGCTGAGTGCGTAGAACTAGATCTTGCTGACTGTTCCCCTCGCGGTGGGCTCCAGTTGTAGAAACAACAATACTGCGAGGTGCAAACAAGGCTCCTGACTGTATCTATAAGTGTTGTAAGGTCGCGTGTTGCCTAGTCTGCTATACTTGAGACGACAAGTGCGTTCGACCCTAAAGGGGAAGCAAGTGCAGCAAGGATCTAGAAGTAGGCGCTGAAGGTGCTACTGGTTGGCCAATGCGAAGCACGAGAAAGCGCGCAGGTGCGTGCAAGGCGCAGGAAAGTGAAGGTGCGCGCGTGAGCGGAAACAAGTGAGAGTAAGAGTGAGTTTGCTTAAGTGATGATTAGATATTTAGACAAGAGGTGTGAGGTGCAAGCTCAGAGACGAGGTGCCAAGGAATAGATTTCTACTATGTTCTGCTAGGTAGTAGGTGGGTACTCTATGGTTCAGAAAAGTTGGAAAGTTGGAAAGTGGGTAATAGTATGTAATGCTGGCGCTTAAGTATGGCACCTAGGCGCTGTCATGCGGAGCCAAATTGCTACCGAATGAGGTATGTAAAGATATATGTAAGTAAGGGTCCATGATAAAAATAAAGGTGGAACAATACACAGATAAGAGAAATAGGAATATACGCACTAGAGAGCTTGGTGGACAGTGGATGGATGCTTCCGCATGGCTGGCGCTATAGGGCACTCAAGCGCGGGAAAGCGCGCGCGCATATACATCATAAAGCGCGGGAAGTTGTGCGCGGGAAAGCTGCGCCTCGTATAGGAATAGCTGTGGATAGCACACAGAGTGATGCTACAAGTTCGTGCTATGTACTCCCTAGTGAATACTGCCATATCATGCAATGAGAGGCATGAGTCTCTACATCTCCCAGGGACTTAAATTCTGAGTGTCCCCACTCAGCGCGCGTGTGGTGAGGATCTCAAGTGATGGTATGCGAGTGCGATGCATGTACGGTGCTTGGGTTGTTGGGCGATGAATGTGCGAGTGCAGGAATGTATCACATGGTATGCGTGAAGCGCGGGAGGTTGCGCGCGCTAGGCACGAAGGCGCGGGAATGTGCGCGCATTTAGGCGCAGGGGTGTGGGAATACAGCATAGCATGGTGAGTTGCGAGGGTGACTCTGATGTGAACAATGCGCCATGGGCATGAGGCGATGGTGCGAGAGTGATATGGATGTGGCACGCGAAGCGTGGGAGAGTGCGCATGCACAAGGCGCGAGAACATGCGTGAGTGTTGCATGTGTTGTATTCTGTGGAGACACCTTGAGCTGTTGCGCAATGATCTTGGAGTCCAATATGCGTGGGTGGGTATGATGTGAAGTGGCGTGGTCCAGGAGCGATCCAATCCATGTCCAAACCAAGTCCTGCTAGGCGTGCTAAATATTAGGTGCTAAGGGTTTGAACAGTGTGAGTAAAACTATATGTGAAAATGCGAAGGAAAAACAGTAAACTTTGCGGATGTCCTATCCGACTTGTCTTCTTTGTGCGGCTGTCAACATCTACACCTTCCTATGAGCAAGGCGTGGGAAGCGCGTGCACGCGCGCATGAGGCGCATGGGCACGGGAAGATTGCGCGCATATGGGCGCGTTCTAAGGTAAAAAGAGCATGGTGCTGCGTCATGCGTAAGAAGAGAAAATAATGTCCTATTGAGCTAGGCGGGCACAATCTAAGGTTGTTTTGTTGTTTTTCTTCTATGTTCTTCTAGGTGATTCCTATATGCATATATATCAGTGTGTTATTAGTCCTTTGGACAGTGTTATAATGAGAGAAAATAAAAATGAAAGAGCGCTGGATGAAACCCAGGGTAAAACGAATGGTATCCTATGAACAGTATTGTTATGTGCTTTTCATTGATGCGCAGCTGAAGCGCTCGAAGCACGTGGTGTATGTAGTATAGGCGAGGGTCAGAAGGCGCAAGGCTGGCACGCTTGGGGTGCTAGGCGCCTCTTCATCAAGCCTCTTTGATTGCGACTCTGAGGGGGGCTAGTAACTGGCATAATGAATTCCTGCACAACACGCTGCAGGTTGAAGGCGCGCCAATTGGAGGCGCTGCAAGGGGTGTAGAAGTGCTCTACAAGCTGATAGGATGCGCATGATGTGCGCGCCTTGGGGCGATTTCACGCGAATTTGATTATATCGGCCGAACACGCGAGGAACGGCCATTTCTCTGCAAATGCATTAGTGAGAGTGAGAGACATATATAGTGTGGAATTGGGCGCAAATGTTGCGCGAATGGGCTGTAAGGGTGGTTTATCAAGGTGCAATAGGCGCATAGGTGAAAGAGAATAGTGCACGTCAGGGTGTGCAGGAACGAAATTGACATGGTAAGCAAGAATGTGAAGAACACAAATAAACGTGGAAAGTGCGAAGTTAAAGATGATGATAGGAGAGTTAGGCGCATATGTATGTGTCAGGCGCGCCTGGATGGCTGATTGGAATATATCTCGCATTGAATGACAGAAATGTGATTTAAAAGGGGAGGAACGATAGAAATGCGATAGTGCAGAAACTCTGCTAAAATGATAAATGCGCGAGGCGCGGGAATTATCGGGCAATGCGCGCAATCATGGCGCGTGAACAAGGGGTAGTGCGAAGATGAAATTGAAGTATTTGGAATTGTCATATAGCTCCTTAAGAGCTTTAAACATGAAAAAGACAAGAAATGCGAATTGAGACAAGGGTAAATATACAATGCCTCTAGGCGCATGCATTGCACGTCCTTAGGTGCAATGTGGTGCGCCTGAGTTACCCCAGGGTCGCCTGAGACATGCTCTGCTTGGTGGTTGGGCAGCGTGATGCACGGATGCTTTACTGGCAAGCAATAGTCACTAGAAGCAAAAAGCGCGATGTGCACGTGATCGTTAGTGACAGATGGAATTACCAGAGGCAAACTCTGGTTGATTGATGCAAGGTGCGACTTAAGCCTCTGATGCAGTAGAAGGCTCCTCTATAGGCGCGCTAAGGCGCAATAGATGTTTAGGGTCATCCCTGACCTCTGATGATGCGAGCGGTGATAGCGGTGATGGTGATGGTGCGATTGGCGAGATTTCTTCCTTAAGCGATGCAATAGTGGTAGGTGAGTGTGTTTCAAGTGATGGTGTAATAACTTCCACAATGGGTGTGTTATTGTGCAATAGATATTTAGAGTCATCCCTGACCAATGGCGATGCAATAGCGATAGGTGAGCATATGGCAAGCGGTGTGTTAGTGTGCAATACATGTTTAGAGTCATCCCTGACTAGCAATGCGATTGATGCTGATGCGGGCAGCAAATGAGAATTGTCAGTGTGCAAAACAGGCGATGAAAGAGATGATGATGGGGGAAAAGAGGCGCCTGCGGTGCACTTCGGATTGCGCTTCGCGAGCGCGCGCTCAAGTTTGTGATCTAAAGCGATGCAGTCTGGTATAGTTTGTGTGCTGGCGCAGTTGATGGTTTGGGTGCGTGTGAATCGCGCGAAGGCGCGGGAAAGGTGCGCACGTGAGATGCGAGAATAGGAACTGGTGGCCTTTTGTCAAGTACAACTTCTGAGGATGCGCGATAGAAGAGTCCAGCTGCCACACTAGCGCTAGTGCTCGTATCCTGGGTTGCGCAGCTCATGTAGTATCGATCTTTGTACTTAGTCACCTTAGCTTGCACCGGTGCTTGTGCTGGCATGGTCGCTGTAACTAAGCTCGCAAATGGCACTACCACGGGCGCGCTAACTGGTGCGCTTGTCGCAGGAGAAGCGCGCGCAGGTAATAGGAACTGCGCAGCTGCAAAGACATCCATAAATGGGTATGGGTCATACCTTTATTTCATTGTCTTGTATTTTTATGAGCATGTGACCTTCTGTTTATTTCTCATTATTTATTTTTATTTGGCTTCTTTCAGCCACAGATTTGTTTGTCAAAGTTTTGTATCTCTTTGTTTATGTCTGACTGTTTACTTTTATTTGGCTTCTTTCAGCCACCAGATTTTATTTGTCATCACATCATGTGACTGGGAAATATTCTGGTTTGTAACATTATTTAAGCTGACTCAACATGTTTAGTCATGATTGGTCATGCTTTGTGAATTCTTTGAAAGATTACACTGTATTTATAATGTACTTAGTAATAATCTGATTCATCACCTGGTTTGTAAGCCACATTCTTACCAATCCATCTGATAAATCATGCTTAGTAAGGGGGTTCCAAAAAGGTATAAAAGGACCCCATTTTCACCCATGAAATATAACTTCCCATTTTTCATTCTTCTCTCAAACCGTGTGAGAGTATGTAAGAATAAAAGTGCAGGCAACGTGCCTTGAAGTAAGACTAAGACACATCATTATTCTATTCTAAAGTTATATACTACCTTACAGGGGTTGACTATATAACTTTCGTTATCGTTATTTTACCCTAGGTTATATACTACCTTACAGGGGTTGACTATATAACCATCGAACAGCTTCCAGTGTAAACAATCTGGACATCAATCTCGTCATTGTCCCAAAAGGAACAATATAAAGACTAACTCACCGGGAAAACCGCCGGGTGTGCCTAGTTATGGGGTCCACGTTGACCTCTGGGAGGTGGACAGGCTGCAGGATCTCGCAGACACCACCGAAAATGGACATGACGTGTTCCTGGGCTATGGCCTTTGGGGACGCGACACCCTAGTCCCACGGTGCCGATCTACTATTGGACTGGATGGGAGACCCACTGGCGGAACGCACCAGGATGCTTCTATCTGGTATTCAGTACCCCGGAGACAAGACTGACTGCCCAGACTCACTGGCTGTGGACAGGTTCCATCTATATCGTGTGTCTGCGACAGAGTATGTTATGATGGACTCTTGCTGCCGACTAGACCCAGAACTTACAGTTCCTATTGCCCTGCTGACAAACCCCTGCTTCGAGGTGGACCATTGGTACTGGCATCACATCAGACTTTGCAGAGGTCTCGATAAGAAGGCGCTGAGAGAGACTGAATGAAAACACACCTGGAGACCCAGCCCCATGGGGGACGTGCTGGCAGAACACGCATCCTACTTACTGGATGCAGGGAAGGGCTACCCTAACGACAGGCCTGCATGCCAGGTGCCATGACGGTTTGAATGTAATTTCGTGGGCGGAGGCCTTTACGAGGTATACGACACGGCGCTGCAGTTCGTGGCTGCCGTATCAGAAGAACTGCTGTTGAATTCAAGGTTCAACATCTCCAATTGGTACACAAAACGACTTACCCAGGGATACCACGCATTACAGGACGCTGTGGAGGAATGGTCCTGCGAATGGGACCTGTTCAGACTATTAGAACGAGGGGCACTGTCAGATGTTGACCGACAATTGGATAAATTGGCCAAATACCTTGTGCAGCCTCTGCCTCCGATGAGCATGAAGATGGCCGGGAGCTTGATGCACATAGTGGAACTTAATGGGGTGGCTGTACCTGTGGGGCAGTACCTGGTGTAGAGACTCATGCCTCTCATTGCATGATATGGCAGTATTCACTAGGGAGTACATAGCACGAACTTGTAGCATCACTCTGTGTGCTATCCACAGCTATTCCTATACGAGGCGCAGCTTTCCCGCGCACAACTTCCCGCGCTTTATGATGTATATGCGCGCGCGCTTTCCCGCGCTTGAGTGCCCTATAGCGCCAGCCATGCGGAAGCATCCATCCACTGTCCACCAAGCTCTCTAGTGCGTATATTCCTATTTCTCTTATCTGTGTATTGTTCCACCTTTATTTTTATCATGGACCCTTACTTACATATATCTTTACATACCTCATTCGGTAGCAATTTGGCTCCGCATGACAGCGCCTAGGTGCCATACTTAAGCGCCAGCATTACATACTATTACCCACTTTCCAACTTTCCAACTTTTCTGAACCATAGAGTACCCACCTACTACCTAGCAGAACATAGTAGAAATCTATTCCTTGGCACCTCGTCTCTGAGCTTGCACCTCACACCTCTTGTCTAAATATCTAATCATCACTTAAGCAAACTCACTCTTACTCTCACTTGTTTCCGCTCACGCGCGCACCTTCACTTTCCTGCGCCTTGCACGCACCTGCGCGCTTTCTCGTGCTTCGCATTGGCCAACCAGTAGCACCTTCAGCGCCTACTTCTAGATCCTTGCTGCACTTGCTTCCCCTTTAGGGTCGAACGCACTTGTCGTCTCAAGTATAGCAGACTAGGCAACACGCGACCTTACAACACTTATAGATACAGTCAGGAGCCTTGTTTGCACCTCGCAGTATTGTTGTTTCTACACCGGCATTGCAACGCAATGCAGCGTTGACACGCAACTTCACACACATACTGCCGAAGCCTATAGTAATGGTAGTGCACATAAACGGAAGGCCAGCGCGCGCCTTGATCGATACCGGCTCGTTGGCTGACTTCATGTCATTAATGTTAGTGGAGCAACTGAGAGTTCCTTTGAGTCAACTCACCAAGCCATTGACCATCCAGCTAGCGGTCCAAGGGTCTCGCTCGAAGGTCAACTATGGTGCGAAGGCCAGGCTGCAATACCAGGGTATCGACAGCAAGAGATACTTCAATGTGATTAACCTGCAAAACTACGACCTTATATTAGGGACGCCATTCTTGTTCCAACATAAGGTAACGGTTGGCTTCAACTCACCTAGGGTGATCATTGGCTGCAACATGCCCATGCCCATGAAGGGTGACGAGGTAGGTCTCTGTGTTGGAGTCGAGGGCAGCGGAGGTTTATGCCGAAGAACTTGACAAGGTTCGAGAGCACTTGAAATCATTAGTGAAACCATTGTGTGTGAAGGCGTCTGAGACAGGCTTACCACCTATGCGCGCCATCAACCACTCGATCCCATTGATAGACAATGCTAAAATATACCACTGGAGGCCTTCTTGCTGTCCAGAGGCCATGAGACCACAATGGTCAGAGAAAAGAGCTGCTTACCTTAAGTCCAGATGCTGGCAGGTCACAAGCGCCAGTAACACCGTGCCAATGCTGTTCCTGAAGAAGCCAGGATCAGACAGGCTGTGCACAGTGTTTGATCTCCGAGAACGGAATAATAACACGAGGAAGTTTGTCGTCACCGTTGCCCGATATGGAGGGAATCTTGCGCCGAGTGTCGCGAAAGAAGTACAAGTCCTTGATAGATGGTCAGGATGCGTACGAACAAATAAGAATAATCCCGGAACACGTACCTCGTTCTGCTGTGACGACGCCGGATGGTAACATGGTAAGTCATGTCATCCAGCAGGGCGACTGCAATGCACCGGTGATGTACCAGGCACTGATGAATCACCTTTTCGGCGAATACATCGGCCGTTTCATGGATGTCTACCTTGACGACATCATCGTGTACTCAGACACCCTGGAAGAACATGTTGAGCACGTTAAGAAGATACTGGCAATCTTAGAGCGAGAGAAACTTTACCTCAGTGAGAATAAGATTCAGTTCCTTTGCGACGAGATTAAGATTCTTGGTCGCGTCGTCAGGAAGGAAGGGATCTGTATGGACCCCGCAAAGGTGGACAAGATCTTGTCCTGGAAGATGCCCACAAACCATACACTATGTAAGGGATTTATTGGGTCAGTAGGGTACCTGGCGGATGACATCCACCGAGTATGCTTACCATTGGGTGTCCTATCCGAAGTGTCTGCAGACACCACTCCATTCTGTTGGACGGACATAGAACAGTGCACTTTTGACGAAGTGAAATGCTATGTGTCAGTGTGCGCATCACATAGTAGAATGCCATTGGACTACTCACCTGGCCATCCAAAAATCTGGATGATGATGGATGCTGGCGCAACTGGAGTTGGAGGTGTGATCGCCCAGGGCGACAACTGGTGGATGGCAAGGGTGGCTGTATTCTACTCTGCGAAGATGTCTTCAGCCCAGCGGAATTACCCTGTCCATGAACAGGAGTTGTTGGCTGGGGTGGAGACTATGGTTAGACATAGGGACATCCTACAGGGCGTAAAATTTACCTGGTTGACAGACCATAAGAGCCTGACACACTTCATGCGGCAGAAGAACCTGTCTGGATGACAGGCGCGGTGGCAGGAGACGACCGGGGAGTTTGACTTCGACATTGAATACTTGCCTGGTGAGGAGAATATCCTGCCGGACGTGTTGTCTCGAATGTACGAGTTTGATGAGCCTGGCACTGTAAGGGCCCCCAGTGAGTATGTGGAGCTGGAAGGGGAGGTCATCTCACCTTCAGTTGTCAGCCTGGTCACTATGCCAGTGACTGTTGGACTGGAGGCCACGGCCCAGACGCCCAGGCGAAGTGTGCGTGTGGCTGCCAGGCATGAGCCAACCCATGGACAGGATACTGTGAGCCGATCAGATAGAGGTGGAGTAGGTCAGGAAGAGTCACTCACCAGGTCGGCTGAGGGTCCTGCTGCCAGTGGGATGAGCAACCACAAAATGGTTCTTGGAACATCATCAACCAGATTTTCCATGAACCGCGAAATGGGTCATGGAATGTCACTCACTGACCAGAGCAACCACAAACCAGGTCATGAAAGGTCGTTGCCCTCCACAGACCAGAGCAACCATGAACCGGGTCATAAAAGGTTGTTACCTTCCATAGACCAGAACAACCACGAACTGTTACGATAACATTTACTCCTATCATTTCATTTTTGTGTTACATACTAAACGGGCTGTCCGTACCTTTCTCTTATCTGCACGGGCCATCTGCCCTATCTCTTATCTCTTATCCAAGCGGGCTGTCTGCCTTATCTTCCTTATCTTGATAACGCATTTACAAGCTCCACTTGAACATTTCCTATATAGACTGTACTATGCACGATTGTATTCCTTACTTTAATCTACTGGGTTGTACCTGGAACATTCCTTCAACAAGGTCTCCAACCTTGTTGTCTAAGAACTACGATTCTAAGAGAGTCAGCACCACTCGTCTTAGCCTAGACCATTGATCCTCTCATTCGAGAGAAGACCCTCGTCTATCAGGCTCATCGCCGATTGCCCATTCAGACTTTGATAGCTCAACCGATCCCAGTCGTAACAAAAGATTAAAGTCTTTATCACCTGAACCGTTGCCATCTGCAACGTAGCCAACACCACGACTTCGCTTACTCCTTTGATCGGAGCCTTGAACTTAGGGGCACTACCAACCTTTCCCCCATTAAACAACATGACCACGAAAGCCAAAGATATAGAACTAAAGATTGGTTCTCCTCCTGAATTCGATGGAGACAGAGAAGAATCCAAGAGGTTCATGATGAAGTGCCATGCATACCTCGACATCAATGATAAGGTATACGATGAAGATAAGAAGATCATCCTTGTATTGTCCTATATGACAAAAGGAAATGCGGCAGCCTGGGCCGAAGACTTCATGGAAGCAGCCCTGGACCCAAAGAGGAAAGACACCTCTGGACAACAGATTGGTTACGGAACGTGGGCCACATTCAAAAAGGACTTCGATGAAGCCTTTAAACCCATGGACCCCACCGGAACTGCCATGATGAAGATCTGAGGATTAGAAATGAGAGGAGACCTTCACACCTACATTTCCAACTATCGACTCCTCGCGCATAGGGCAGGAATGTCCGAACAAGCCCCCCTCATCGAATTCTTCAGACAAGGTTTAGATTAAGGGCTTCAAGACAGTCTTCACCGTACCGGTGAAAGTCTCGACAACTTTGATACCATGGTCAACACCTGTATCAATCTTGATAACACTTTTCAAAGGTTGAAGGCCATCAAAAGACGAGAAAGGCCCAACCAACAGAAAAAGAAGAACTTCAGGAACAGACACTATGTCCCCAGAAAGAGGGACGACATGGAAGTCGATCGCATAAGCCATCTATCCGACGCAGAATTAAAGAAACATCTCAAGGAAGGAAGATGCTTCAAGTGTCACCAAGTAGGACACCGTGCCAACGACACCTCCTTCCACCCGAGAGAGAGAGATCAAATCAGGAGAAACAAAGAGGAAGAAAGCAGCGACGACGAAGTC